CTGTAGCACTGAAATGAGTGTAAACTGTGATGTTAATAGATGTGAAAACAAAACAATACAAAAAGATCTTTAAGGTCCAGCCGTTCAAAACATGCATTGACATGCGACTATAGCGTGTCGACGTATTCAGCCAGTCAACACGATAATATGCAGTGATAAAACATCTGGTTGGCAAGCCAATCGACAACATGATGATATGCAAAGACTGAGCATCTTATTGTCTTGCCATCAACAACACCATGGCCTGCTACGACGGATCATCCAGCTGTCAAGCTGGACAGTGTGTGTTCTCTATCGAAGCGATCCAAAATACGATGGAATACAACAGTTGAGAGTCTAGCAATCAAGGCGATTTGGAGTCTTTTATTCCACTGACAACTGCTTGATTCTAGTCAATGTTTGGTTTTGTTGTTGTTTAACGCCGCACTCAGCAGTAGTCCAGCTATAGGGCGGCGGCCACTTAATAAACAAGTCTGGACCAGACAATCTAGTGATCAACATCTTAGGCATCGATCTGCTCTAGGCGATGTAATAGCAGTCTGTTGACCGTCGAGTGTGTGTTATTGCACCATTTTGGGATTGAGTTATCCAGTTTCTTAATTAGTCATCTATCTAATATCTCGAAACAAGTGGTTATGTTGTATATTACATGCATGAATATTGCTAGTTACGATCTACATATGTTCTTGCCATTCCTCATAACCTGATGCATAACATGCACGTGCATTATTGATTCTTCACAATAAATTCTTGGTATATGGCAGCATATTTATGATGTAACAATCTCAACGCTGACAAATACAACATACATACATCAGAGAGAGCAGATTGTTTGTGTGACCACCCTACTGAAGATGCAGGTCATTACTTCTTAGTATGATCCAGATTTGATGCTATAAGAGTAAATAAATTGTATTATACCAATGGTTTTTCATTAGAAACAATCTTATATGGAAGTTCTTCCATGAACCCACAAACTCAAACCGATATTTTAAAATCAGTCCATCAATTTATAACTGAGACTAGACGCTTTAACTGAGCAAATCATATGCTACAACCTATGATTCTCATAACTATACTACTTGTGATCCCGACTGTAAATGCCATAAATGTATACAACCATCATGGTCTTAATCTTCTGACTACATGTCATAACATCTATTTACATTAGATATCATTTTTTCTTATCATGATACTTTTTCACTTATCTATGTATATTGGAGCGGTCTTCATATAACTTCTTTGAGCTTGTTGACCAATCCATTTCATAAAAAATTGTGGTGTTGCTTTTTCATGAAATAATGTTTAAACCAAATATTTATGTCTAACAGACGCTCGTCATGTCGGGCTCTTAACGCCAGGCTAAACGGTAAGCAGTGTACCCGGAATGTTATTGATTGGCCCATTGTGATTTCAATTACCTGGGAAGTGTACATATCCCTGTATCGCTGTCCACAAAACGCGGAGGCACGTGTCAGACGACGTCAAAAGACGCCTCCAGTTCATTTGTTCGACACCCTGATTTTCTGATATGGTACACTGAATACAGCGAGGGTCTCTCATATGTGCCAAACACACTGCTTGCTTTCATGTCAACATGTGTCTTAAGTACATATACTACTGTATTGACAATACGACAGAGAGATCTATCCCGCGTCATTGAGTCCTATGCAATATTACACAGAGGCAGGGAGACAGGTCGTAGGCAAGTGCGTTTCTAAGCGGGGGTTATGTCACGGCCAGCTATTTAACTCGTTCCTTCAGTGTTGGCCTCACAGTGGACTGGCTTGCCTGACTGGAAGGTGAGATACACATCGATACTGTAGATATAGCTGATAGCTACTGGCGCACTTCATATTGATAGCATGTAACTTACCTGTATACCTACCTGTTTTAATGCAGATATACAGTGGTTGAACTTTATCAAAACCCAGTTTATTGATTGTTGTATATGACAGGTTATAGAAGGCTGGTGTGTACAAACTTTCTTATCATATCTCTCGATTATGAAAATTAATGTTGACATACATCTTTATACAAGTTGTATTTATGTAAGTGTGCAGTACGTTAAATGTATCCGTGTTTATTTGACTTGCACATGGGTTTATTAAGAGGTGGTAAGCATAATGTATGCACATAAGGGTAATTGGTTGCTAATACGATAGTTGAGCGTTAACACCCATTGCACGCGAATGCATGTAATTGCTAATGTGTTTGTTAAAAACTAATGCCACCAATATGTACACGGAGCTAACCGACATGATAATGAGTCTGTTAATAGGTAGAATCACGAATATATGCATATGGGTGTCCGTAGCTAATGTGTTTATTATGGAGCAGTACCTTTAATGTTTGCACGTAGCAAGTCTGACATCATATTAATGTGTATATTATTGGGGTAGCGCCTTCACTGTTTACTCGTATCTGTCTGACATCATATCAATGTTTATATTAATGTGGCAGCACCCTCGCCATATGTACGTAGCTGTCTGACACGTTTAATGAGTTGTATGGGGTATAGAGTACACACGACATTGTGTGTAGGTATCAGATCGCTGTCTGTGTAAGCAAATATAGCAGTATTGTTGATAGTATCACATACCTTTGTGTTCTTACAAATAACCGTTCAACGGCCTCAGTAAATAATGTCAGTGTCTTAGAAATACACCAAGTGCTTGATCCCTCTACATGAACGGCAACAACAATTATTCTTCGCCTTTCTGAAAGTATATGTGAACGACCTGTCCTACTGTACAGACACTGACATAAAGTCTTAGTAAAGAATATCAGTTTTAGTGTGCACACGCCATATATCAGTTATTTTTACACTTAACCGAGACGTAGAGCCTATGTGTAAAATGTATCTTGCCCCCAGCCTGTGAATGAGGATGTGTCTTTTCTTTGTAATAGTTAGATTTAGGTCCCTTATATTCGAAGACAGGATCTTCTAAATCCTCTAAGTAATCGTCGATGAATAGTTGGCCATTTTGTACGTGCTCTGTTGCAGTCTTCGCCAAGTTCCGTTCAATCTGTGTGCCCCAGAATTTAAGTCGGTCTCTCGATAATCTATTAATCTGTTTAGTCGTTAATCCGTGGTTACTAAGCCAGGTCACAGGAGATCGATGAGGGCTGGTGGTCAGTGTACCGGCTCTTAGTTGGAAATCTGTGTGTTGTGGGTCTACTACAATATTTCCCTACAATATTTACCTGTCCGTATCGAGTTCCCTGTAATATTTACCTGTCCGTATCGAGTTCCCTGCAATATTTACCTGTCCGTACCAATATTTACCTGTCTGTATCCAGTTCCCTGCAATATTTACCTGTCTGTATCCAGTTCCCTGCACCTGTCCGTATATTCCTGCAATATTTACCTGTCTGTATCCAGTATTTACCTGTCTGTATCCAGTTCCTTTACGCAGTGCAATATTTACCTGTCTCAGTTCCCTGTCAATATATTTACCTGTCTGTATCCAGTTCCCGGCAATGCAATATTTACCTCTATTTACCTCTGTATCCAGTACAATATGTACCTGTCTTTATCCAGTTCCTGCAATATTTACCTGTCTCTATCAGTTCCCATAATATTACCTGTCTTTATCCAAGTTCCCTTTACGCAATATTTACTTGTCTGTATCCAATTCCTGCAATATTTACCTGTCTGTATCCAGTTTCCTACAATATTTACCTGTCTGTATCCAGTTCCCTGTGAATATTTACCTGATCTATCAGTTCCCAGTAATATTTACGTCTGTATCCAGTTTCCTACGATATTTACCTGTCTTTATCCAGTTCCCTGTGATGTTTACCTGATCTACAGGTCACCAGTTCCCTCCTATATTTAGCACTGTGTTGGCCGTATCTGATAATGTGATGCGGCACCACCGTGTCAAGAATTGTTCCTTGTGATAAGAACCATCGGTATTGATGACTCACTCACTCAAAAACGCTGGAATATTTGCTATGGCGTAAAACAACATTGTATTCTCGTTTAATTAATTCCTGCTAAGTCTCCTCCTAAACTAATCTCTCTTACAGTCCTCAAATCCGCACCACTCTGTGTACAGTCCTGGGTATTCTCCCAACCCACTGGAGCCCCTTTTCAATTTAAATGGGGTTGGTTGGTTCTATAAAAAGTACATGTATATACATTCGAGACTGAGCGTTAGTCTGGTCAAGTCATTTCTGCAGGGCTAAAGTCTTAAACGAAGCAAGTCTATATTTAGGTTTCTGGTTTAGGAAATCTCAGCTTCTTAATTTCCAAGCTCGCTCCTTTACAAAGCACGGTAGTCAACTTCTTAGGAGAGATGATGATGTACAGAATGTAACTGACAATTAACGAGGGTATGCCAGTCCGGCGAGGCCCAGGTTGCTATAGGGATTATCTCAAGGCAACCTTTTTTCACACGCTTATCGCAGAAGGTGTTGTTTGAAAGAGAATGTTTTTTTAATGTAATTAGACACATAGATTACATGACAAGCAACATTGCCCGTTTGTGTCGCGGTACACGGGGGTCACGCTGTACATGCACGTACACAGTTGTATGCAGACCGTTCCTGGAGACAACGTTGTGTTTTGAATATTGGTAACAGCTTTGACTAAAGTCCCTCACTGAGGCTCCTCAGTAGTTACGGAGAACATTCCCCGTATTTGTTCGGAAACCTGGTCAGATAGCCATCTCTAATAGAATATGTTTTTCTGAGGCAAAAGCAAAGTCAAGGTATTGAAAGAGAGTCGTGTTACTTGGTAAAGACCCGCGACTGTCATGGAGGCTAGCTTGGGCAAACACTGCAACTACTGTGATCAATGACTATAGGTACCGCTCCACAGAGTGGTCTTAATCTTCGTTAAAGTACGAGAGTTACGACCACTTTAGCTCTACGATCGCTTTGTTGAACGTACCTTGTGCCATTGATGGCGGTACTTGCAGTGCAGGTGGCGAGGAGGAGCTAGATTAACTACTGTGGCGTTACTGTTTCAACGTATATCCTGTGTTTCTCAGATTCACCTGTTGCTCATCACTGGAGTGAATGGCCCGAGCGTAGACCAGTTGACGTAAGCTGTCACCCACCTCCCCGCCCCCACACAAACATCGGCATCCACCGCGTCCCAACCCCGTACTTATCAGTACCCGGCGACATCGAAGACAGGCCCCACACCGTTCACCCTGGGTATGCGTTTGGAGATTCTGAGGTGAGCTATACATTCAAGTGTGTTTGTTCGTTTGTTTGGATGACAATATTTCAATGTTCAAAATCAGTCTTCAATTGTTTAATGCGCAAAGAGTGATATGCCGGATGCCTAGAGAGGTGGGGGTTGACATCCCGTCAGTTAGTGCCATGTAGATGCCGGGCTGCGCTGACTGTACACTCTATGTCATGCAGGCTCTAGAGAAAGGATCCCCGCTGACTTACGTGCCTGAGCTGAACTCCTGGGTCACCAACGCTTCCACAGACTACGGTGAGTCATCCAAGCAGGGGAAGGGGTAGAGTCAGCTCCTATATTAGGTGCGGATACATCAGTAGACACAAAAACTGTACTGTTTTTTCCTTCTCCATAATCTCCATAATAATCATGGCTCTATTACAAAAAGCCAGGTTAGTCGTAGGCCTTCGGAGGGAGCGAGTGAGTGAGTGAGTTTAGTTTTACGCCGCTTTCAGCAGTATTCGGCAAGGGACACCAGAAATGGGCTTCACACATTGTGCCCAAGTGGGCAATCGAACCCGGGACTTCAGCGTCACGAGCGAACGCCTTAACCACTATTGTACCCCACCGCCCCCGTCGGAGGGACAACACTGAGAATCACTGGCACTGTGTTTGGTCTTGTCTTGGATTTTGTCTTGGCCTGGACCTTGGAAATGTATCTGTGTAATGTTGGGCCTTTTGTATGAGTAGCTTACATATCCCATCATTTCTTGACGTGAAAGCAGTGCTCGGGATTGGTGCACATATGTATCCTCCAAAACTGGTTTCCACGGAAAACTTCCATAAAGCTTTTAGTTACCTTGCATCAACTGACAGTCGAGTGAGATTCACTATACATCACTTCCAATTTAGTTCAGCAGTATCTCGCCTGCCTTCAGCGTTCTGGACAAAGACCAATAAAACTGTCAGGCGCCAAATGTAGGCCATGATTATTTTGTAACTGTTAATCATTAAGTGGGGTGTTATCAATTAACAGGATCTATGTGGGTCACCTGGCCTGGTGGGAAGTGTGGGGGTATCGATCCTGTCCCAGAAGTTCCCCCTGGCAACGGTCTGGGTCAGATACATCTATAATACCTGGCACTGGAAGGAACACCCACACAATACAGCTGGGGTATATGTTACATGTTGTTATATTCTTGACATTAAGACTGTGTGTTTGTATATAAGCCATATCACTTTCACTGGAACTTGGTGAAGTTGTCACACTCTTCCTCTGTATTCCAGAGAAGAACGCTGCCTGTAAAGTGAGCAACACGATGAACCGTGGAATGTCCTCCTACCAGCGGTCCCGCAGTATGTCCCCTATGAGGACCCGACCCTACTTCGGCCGCTCCCTGACCCAGGGGGAGGGTCTTTACTTTCCCCAGCCAGACAACCAATACGCCCCGACGTGGAACCCCTACAGTAACGGCTTCAACCAGATGGACAACTCCGGCATGGCCAGACACTTAGAGAGGTAAGGCACCTGGGGCATGCACTGGTTGTGATGTTAAGGCCTACATTGTTGCCTGTATTAACAGACGTTTAGGGAGCTAAGGCATCTGGTTGGATGCGGGTTCACGAATGGTGATGGTGCTGGTGGTTGATAGGGCATACATTGTTACAGTATGCACATACACCTGAGAGATAGCATAATGTCTATCCGATCCTGTACCTGCTCGTTCGGGTCATCTGATACAGGCGATACACAGACTTCCGGTCCCTTACATCATGCATATCATGCCTTTCAAGCGATACATGACACACACGTACCTCCTCCATACCTACCATGTGTTACAAAGATTTCAAGACCTGTATTTATGTTCTCCGGGTGCCATGTTTCAGCGCCACCCCCATGGCTAACTACACTATGTACCCCCAGTCTGCCCGGGAGTCAAGGCCCATGGGCCGCTACAGACGCAGAGCATCCTTCAGCAAGGACTACGTCCATGATCTCAGCTGCTTCCAGGTACGGCCACCCTGAGCAATCAGTATAGCTTTCAATCGATACGATATTATCTTATTCCTACCAATCAATATGTCATGCCTTTTTATCAATACACTTCGTCCTTATCAATTAATCAGTGCTGTACCTTAAAATCAATATATCCTGTAATCAATATATATGGCTACTTTCGGGATCACGGGTGTCGCAGTTGTTTGCTTTACAAAGTTATGTCCCTTGGACACAGGGAAACATATGGGTTCGAATCTTGGTCTAATGGTTTGTCAGCATCATTCCCGATCTCGAGGGTTTCGCCAGTGACAAAGGTCTAAGACCTGCGTCAGTTCGGGCTTTCCTCCCGCAACGAGCCGACACGTCGTGATATAACTGGAATACTGCTTGATGTTCGTGCTTGGTCAGAGAGAGTACAATGTAAATTTACGAATATAAACGTACACATACATGGGAGTGATCTATATGAAGTGGGGAATAATGTTGTTTTAAGTCTGTCTTGAAGAAGTATATCCTGGTATCGACAAGGGGAACTCACGACAGATGTGGTTTCCTGATTGTCAATCTGTTCTCGAGATTAATGGGGTAGACTACACAAGCAGTGAGGTCGTCGCAAAGGCCCGTGGTTGATTTCCCACATAGACACAATGTTTTAATCACGTTTCTAGAGACCCCGACGTGAGTGAGTGAGTTGCAACATCGCCTCATATTCAGCCATGAGAGAAAGTTTTACGCCAATGATATTTTAGAGGGTGTAACCTGACATGTCACCGAAGGACAGTTCAACCTCTAGATTATCACAGATTATACATAAAACTAGTTTGGGAATATTAAAAAATAAAATATTATTATTCAGCATCATGTAAACAGTCTATGGAAGGCAGCCACACTAGCAACGTGGTGAGAATACTTCTGCTTCCTGTCCGTTCCCCTAGCAGAATTTACACCATTAATTCCTTCAGTTGCAAGCAAGGTTATACGATTCAGTCGACAATTACAATTCTCAAAAATGCTACGCTTAAAACGCTGAAACCTGTCTCTCACAAATCTTATCATATGTGTTGCAGTCGACACAGCCAATGGTGACCGGTCACTTCATCATCCACCCTGACTGGGTGTCCGAGCGAATGACCCCCCGGAGAAAGCAGACCAAGAAGAACCAGTTACAGTACTAGCCCCGTGGCTCCCCACGCTCAGGGGTGGGCCAACCTTGAGGTCAGGAAGAACTGTGATACAACGCCTAGTCTACAATCTAATTTTAAACTGCGGAAGTAAATAATTGCTTCTGACCAAAAAAAAATGTGTATTGAAACGAGTTTCGTAATTCATCCCGTGTTTCCATGTCTGCGCTAGTATTACCAGGCCTATTATTGTATCGATCTACACTGTTATATACTGTGTTTGCTCAAACATTTCAGCTGTGATGACTAGCTACTGTGTAGCCACACTACTGTTATATCACGGCTTTAGCTCCAAAACACTGCTGCCAGCTCAATCTGCCTACACTGACTCTGAATACAATAGGAGTAAATCTGTTATGATGATTTCACTTGTATTATCCATTAACAAGAGCAATCTAAGTTTAAATTTGCGATGTGGCTTAAATAGTAGAGAGGATTTTGTATCCCATCTGCTTTTCTATAAGGATAAATCGAAACATAAATATCCCGACAATTGAAGCACCGTAACATATACTGAGAGAAACAAATACGGGAACACGTGAAAGTAGAGATGTTTCTTTATTCGTCTCTTCTCTTTCTTCGCAGGCTTTGTATTGCACTGTAGGTGAAAATCTGAGAACAAATAAAGAAACACTGCGGTGAAGTGGTGTTTCGTTACTTGTTCAATATATAATCCTGTGATGTTCAGGAGTAGATGGTCCCCACATAAAGGAGATCAGGAACATGGCGTCCTTTGGACGCCGACGTTCGGGAAGAAATTGTCCATTGCACAAAGAAGGATGATGTTAATCCAAACATATTACACGTTAACTGCGTCTCTGTTGTGGCCCGTTGGATGTTCAGGAATTGCCATGACATTACATCTGCTACATGTAGATCCTGCTACGAGTTGGCCACTTCCTATGTTGTCCCAGTTCAATTTGTTGTTTCCCATGTCTGAGATTGTCAGACTTACTGTCAGTATTACGGCATTTGCCTCTACAGTATTGCATAAGTATTCGTTTGCGTTTCTTGTACAGATTACCAAATTATGATAAATTAACTTTCTTGCATGAAAATAACTTGTTACAATTGTTTATTCATTCTTTTTTCAAATTTCAATAAAATTTTATTAACAAAACAGAGGTATTGTTTTGTATACGTCGACATCTAAATCTTTGTCTTGCCTTGATGGAACACGGTGTAACCAGTATGGCTCTCCTGGTTGGAGAAGTTGCCTGGGGGATATGGAAGAATCGTGGTTTAGTCGTCGGCCTGTCACTAACCAGGTTGGTGGGCCGGAACCAGTCGCTGCAAAGCCATCTAGGGTGCATCAAGGTGTCATGTTTGAAGGGGTAGCACCTTTTGCCACGAACATCAAGGGGACGCCTCCGTGGTGTAGTGGTTAGAGCGTCCGCCCGGAGAGCGGAAAGTCGCGGGTTCGATCCCCGACCGCGACATACCAAAAGACGTTAAAATATGGTACTTGTTGGTTCCTGCCTGGCGCTCGGCATTAATGGGTACAACAAGGAAAGGTCGGCTCGGAGTCAGTATACTGTGTCTGAGTGGGGTATTCATGCTTCACTGCGGCATGGTATCTCAGTGAGCTAGCACTATAAAACCAGCTCAAGTCTGGGCTAGTACAAGCAGCCGCACATACACATACACACGCATGCACGTCGTTGTATGAGCGAAATATTCTCAAGCACGACGTTAAACCCAATTTCACGTCACCTCACGAACATCAAGGTGTCATGTTTTGAGGTGCAAGAACATTTTGCCACGAACATCAGCTGTCATGTTTGAAGTGCCAGATCTCTCTGATTTTTGAAGGTGCTGTATTTGCAGAGCACTTTCTGACTGGAATGTGTTCGGGGTGCCAGTAAAGCCTGATGTCAAAGTGATATTTTCTGAGTGCAGTCTGTAAGCTCCACGTAGTGTGTTTTTCGTAGCGACTTCTTATTGGAATGGCATTGAACGTGGAGATCACCTAAGGAGATAATCAGCAATGCCATTTATCATTACTTGAAACAACAAGAAGCACCAGGCCATATTTGTAGGGAAACATGTAACAGACGTAAATAGCATGACAATGGTAGATAGCATGATACTGAGTTTATGGCACATAAAATGTATCAGTTTCGGCAAATTCCGAACAGGCGGCTCACTGAAGACACCAAATGTTATGATAGAACCAAAGAATTAGAAAGCAAAGACATTGCCAAAGCTCAGACTTCTATCACATTTCAAGTCGATACGTTCAAAAGAAGGGACATAAAACTAATGTTGCCGTTTTTTCAAAACGTATATGTACAATTCCTCACAAAACTGTATTTACCGGTCAAATGCAGCCATCACACGAAGCCGCTTACTGGTGACTGGGTGTGTATATCGCTGTGGTTAAGAGACACCGTACACACTTAGAGCAAAACCTTTTCTAAACATCATTGTAGAATTATTTGTTTAAATGCCATATGAGAGAAGAGGATTTGTTTCTTTGTAGTGATTTACAGTGACTGCAAATGACTGAAGTTCCATTAAAATATCAAGGGTTGTCCGGGTCCAAGTGATTGCAGTAAGTTAGAGTGAGTGAGTGAGTTTGGTTTTACGCCGCTTTAAGCAATATTCCAGCAATATCACGGCGGGGGACACCAGAAATGAGCTTCACACATTGTACCCATGTGGGGAATCGAACCCGGGTCTTCGGCGTGACGAGCGAACGCTTTAACCATCAGGCTACCCCACCGCCCCGCAGTAAGTTAGAGCTACAGTTGAAACACATAGGGCTTCATCGTTTGACACGTTTTGGGACCGAACAGTTTCTGAATAATGGCTTTAGCTATATAAGAGTGACCAGGAGGCGACCGTTTTGTGACCTGACTACATCTTATCCACACCCTGATGGGATACCTTTCTGAAAAGCATACTCCAACCGCTTCTAAAGGGTACTATTCCGGGTTAAAAAAAACAGACAGCCCTCTTTTAATACAACCAATAGCTAATCGGAACAGTATTAGAAACATTCGTGAATACATTTCCATTAACTATAGGTCATGTTACTTGATCTGGCTTAGGTCATGTTACTAATCTGGCTTATTGAAATGCCTTTTATTTATCATAAAACAGTTTATGGTTAATATTTGTAGGTTTGAAGTCCCCTCGTATTAGATACTGGGAGCTGGCGTTACGTCTGAGTTAACGTTACATTTGTAATATCGTTATATTTCACATTTGTAAAGAAAATGTTCATTTCTAAATTTCCCAGAACCAATTTATCTTTATTGGTCAAGTATTCAAATGGTCAAGTGGTTTCAAAGATGCTGAACATGTTCAAGGTAACAACCAAAATACTGCAAAAACTCACAGACCAGTACATTCCAGAATACAATAACTCCAGTTCCAGTTATCACGGCTGGCCCCTTTTATTTTCAGGCTCTTCCCTTAGCTACATATATCAGTGCTGCTGCATTGATAACAGCGTACAAATGACAAGCACTGTTCCATCTATAGAATGACGGTCTGAACATAATCAAGTATGGAAAAAAACCCACGAATTTGGGACGTGAGTTAAATGCATTAACCAATAGAAAGGTGGCTGACCATCCAACCCACTGGTCCCTTCTAAAGATATGCGTGGCTTGCATACGACCAGGTAAACCAACAAATCATCTTAACATAAAGGACTTCCTGAATACAGATTTACCTCATCCTTCCTTAAATCAAAACAAAAGGTCCATTACCCAATAAATGAATATTGGAGAATCCCAGAATTGCAGAATTCTCACTTGCATTCAGAGGAGGAGTGAGGCTGTACATGACATCAACAATACATCAGCTGTATTACACGACATCCGGACAAAATATGTCTGAGCAAGAGACATAAACACTTGACACAAACACTTGACATCCCGAGCAATGGTTAACGTTCCATAACAATGAAAGATTGAATCAAAGACAGTCATAAAGATGTCATTAAGATGGGGGAAGCATATTTCGCACTGGAGGGGCGGTGGGGTAAACCAGTGGTTAAAGTATCCACTCGTCAAGCCGAAGACCCGGGTTCGATTCCCCACATAGGTACGATGTGTGACGCGGTTCGATTTGTGACGCCCATTTCTGGTGTCCCCCTGGTGTTGCTGGAGTATTGCGAAATGCACTGTAAAACCATACTCACTCACATTTTGCACTGGAACTTCACTGTGGGTAGAGAGCTAGGCCACTGTATGCATTTACTGGACATATAGCATCTATCACCATGACAACCTCTGTCTGCTAATGCCTGGCAGAAAGAAACACACCAACACCATTCACAAGTACCAGTTTTTATTCACTTTTGTATAAATTAGAAGCAACAAGAATAATACATATCACAAAACTATGTTAAAAACATATCACTGTCTCACTCTCATGTCGATGGCTTTCAGTGAAGTGAGACAAAAGCTCTGAGTGCGATAGAAGTTGCTCAGCATTGCAAACAGGCACTGATGGAGTGGCAGCTTCACCCTCCTGTTGACAACACCAGAGTCTGGTCTGAACTATCAATACCAACATGAATGACATCTACCATGCAGTATGAAACATTATCATGTGGTTTACATACCCTCTAAGGAAATATCATATGCGATAAACCCTTTTCTTGACAACAAGAGGTCAGAGCCCATGGGGGCGGTTAACACAGTGCATGCAAAACAGAATTTAGGCTTGCATGAAATCATATCTTGGAATCATTTTTAGCTGATTTGACTGAATATATAGAAAATTGACAGCTTTGAAGATCCAAATTATTTACATGACTAATGGTTTAAATGTTGACCGTTGCTATTAATGTCAGTGTTACACAACATCCACTGAGAAGGATAACATGAACTGATCGGCCCCCTTCAAGACAGCAAGATTTGTCTCCCCTTTCTAAAACCCTCTCCCCACCCACACCCCTCATATTTTCTGTCAGACCCTGCCATTCTTCCAGCATTCAGTTAGACCAGATATATAGGAGAAAGAAAAATTGAACAGGAGAAGGAAAAATGGAACATGACAAAGTATCAAAATAAAAATAAACGTGATAAATAAAACTGGTAAATAATACAGAGGATTATGCACAAAAGGTAAAGGACTGCCTGAGATATGACAATGATGACAAACCTCCCATTCATACACACAGGCACTGGAAGGTAACTGGACAACACACTGGACGCTCCACAAGTTATGTATTACCCAGCAACACACATAATGGTCATCTTGCGTGTTTGGTCCAACAGAGCTCAACAGTCATGCAGACAATGACGGACAACATTATGGCAACTTCCACACAGCAAAAGGAATTTGTGAGACCTTTAAAATCCAACACTTAACAAGTTAATACCATCAGTAGAATACAAACACTGTGGAAATGGGGGAAGCTCTCGAGCAAACATTATTTGCATGGTTACTGACATAAATTTCCTTGTTGTATCCCAAATTAATAGGCTTTACAATTGACAAAATTTATCTTTTTAAATAACTGACATTTGATATACAACATGTTTGAGATATATGATAGAACATTGGTCCACGCTGCTGATCACATCAGATGCCAGCCGTAATCAGGCACTGGTCGTGCTGCCATTTAAATCTTCTGCAGTATACGGTTCTGTTTGATCTTGGCCTGTCTCTCCTCCAGTTGTGTCTGAACTTTGTCTGGAAGACCTGGTTCCGTGAAGTAGTCTACAAGCAATGAACATACATTAAGTAGGGGTCAACACACGAGGTACACACATCCTACAGGTGACTACACTTTTAATACAGACCATACAGGTGACTACAAACTTAGGGGTAATACACATCCTACCATAATATACAGAGAGTGTCTACACATAAATACAAACCTACAGGTGTCTAAACATAAAGCCATATAGGGGTCAACACACGAGGTACACACTCCTACAGGTGACTACACTTTTAATACAGACCATACAGGTGTCTACACATAAATACAAACACGCCATATAGGGGTCAACACACGAGGTACACACAGGTCCACTTTTAATACACAGGTGACTACACTTATAGGGGTAATACACTTTTAATACACAGACCATACAGGTGTCTACACATAAATACAAACACGCCATATAGGGGTCAACACACGAGGTACACAGTCCTACAGGTGACTACACTTTTAATACACAGACCATACAGGTGTCTACACATAAATACAAACATGCCATATAGGGGTCAACACACGAGGTACACACACTTGTAATACAGACCATAGGAGGTGTCTACACATAAATACAAACACGCCATATAGGGGTCAACACACGAGGTACACACTCCTACAGGTGACTACACTTTTAATACACAGACCATACAGGTGTCTACACATAAATACAAACACGCCATATAGGGGTCAACACACGAAGTACACACATCCTACAGGTGTCTAAACATAAAGTACACGCATCACACAGGTGTCAACACATAAAACACAAACATATCATACAGGTGTCTACACATAAACACGACAAAGGACTTATACATGTCATACAAGCATCTACTCATAAGTAGTACCTACAAATGTCATACTGACATCTACACATTAAGAACATACACGTCATACAGATGTTAACACACAATGTACATGTCATACAGGTGTCTACACATACCATACATACAGACATCCTACAAGGGTGTCCACACATAAAGTACATACATGTCTTACCATGCTTACACTGAGTATGGTTTTATGCCATGTTTAGTATTATTCCAGCAATATAATGTAACCATGTGAGGAATTGAACCCACGTCTCTAGTGTGACGAGAGAACGCATTAACCACTATGCTCCCCTTGCACTCCTTACAAGGCTTACAGGGGCGGTGGGGTAGCCTAGTGGTTAAAGCCTTCGCTCGTCATGCTGACAACCCGAGTTCGATTCCCCAACTGGGTACAATGTGTGAAGCCCATTTGTGGTGTATCCCCGTCGTGATATGGCGTGAATATTGTTAAAAACGGCGTAAACAAAACTCACTCACTCACTTACAATGCTTACAGGTGTCGACATTTTAAAGACATATTTCAGAAGCATGACATTGACAAAAGGGTCTCCTGAATAGACGTGAAATATGAATTGATCACCAATTTTATGTGAATGACGAACCCTCGCTGAATACACATCATGATACCATTGTGACATCATGATACCATTGTGAATCATGACCATTGTGAATGACCCTATCTGTTCAATTTAATAACACTATCTTATTAATCAAGTTTCCGGGTTAGAATTGATCTTCAGTCACCCATGCTTGTTGTGGCGACTGACGGGATCAGGCTGTCAGGCTCGCTGACATGGTTGACACATGCCATTGTATCTCAATTGTGTAGATTGATGCTCATGCTGATCACTTGATTGTCTGGTCTAGACTCGATTATTTACAGACTGCTACCATATAGCTGGAATATTGCTGAGTGTGGCGTTAAACAACCAACCAATTAATCATGTTAATAGACAAACCACAACACCAAGACGGCAGATATAGAATACCATTACACATGATACAGCACTTGACATTACATAGACTATATATCAGTCATTTCTTTTCTAACTAACTGTATTTGAAAATAAGCAAAATGTTCTCTTTTATCATGTATTCACTACAGTTTCTGCAACAATTCATGACAGTCTGAAAGAACAGAGGTGATCATGGTGATGAGAAGATACTGCAAACTAGTGTTTGGAATTGGTTAAATAATTGATGATTGGTTCATTACAACTCGATCAATCCTCGTAAAATAATTGGTTTGGCGTCATTTATCAAATGTGCCTGTTATCTTTGTTAATGCACACACAAAGAAAAAACATGTAGTAATTTGGGTCTTTGCAAATTGCACAAAATCCATTGGCAAATTTCGCATATTTAAAGGATGATTAGTATGTTAGGAACACAGATTTCCTGGATTCTTTAAGATAAATTCAATCATGACTTGGAACGAGCTTGTAGTGCTTATGAAATGTAAATTTAATGACACAGACAAAACCAACCTTGTGTAAAATATTGTTGATGCAAACAAGTGTTCCCAAATTGGTTGTGTTCGATTGTCATAATCTTGCTTGGTCGCTTAGGCACTCACCAATCTTCATTATTTCATAATCGGCCACCACTACTGCATACAAAGTTGGTGACTGTCATAACTGCCTGATAGACTCATACCAACATACTCTATACCCAGATAGTGCTAAGTTAATGTCACGCTTCGCAGAATGTGCATTAACACCAACATGTCGTGATGAAATGTGTCAGTTTATAAATGCAGGTATTGGACACACACAAGGGATGCATTTTCCAATTGAATTTCATTTTCTAAATAATACAGTGTATGTGTTCACCACACTGTGTCACATGCTCACTCATTCTCACTACAGTTTAAGCCACTGGATTACATGGTCAGCTGTGAATCTAGATTTCACTCCTCCCCATGAACAGTTCCCCATCTCTCACCTGCAGCAAATTCACGGATGTTGTCGGGTCTCTTCTTCAGAACATCGCTAGAAACAGAAAATCAGGTTCAAAATAAACTAACACATTATACATTCACTGGGAACACAGGATTTCCATTTGATATTATGAAAAGCAACTATTAATGGTTTGAGTAATATAAGCAACTTAAAGCAGTGAATGAATGTTGTTCACTGCTGTAGTCATTAACAGCCAACTATGTCAAGTGTAAACAATCAACAACTAAGGGCTGATAGCAGCACCAAGGATCTGGGCATGCTTGAGTGCAACAAGCATGGATTACCATGGTTACACGGGACCTATGCTTTCTCAGAAATATGCATCAGGAAATCAAGGAATTGATAGTTCATTAAACGTCTGTGTCTGACACATCCATGGATGACCTTACCCCAGGAAGCCAGCCAGCAAACACTCAACCTCCGGGTGGTCGCGCGTAGATACTTCTCATTTGCCATCCGTGTCTGCACCTGCAACCAAAACAATTCATAATGCTTTATCTATTTGTATTTGCATTAGTATTCAGCAAATGTTTCATACTAGAACTAAATCAATTATGTCTCTGTACTTCTCTGTACTTCAAAAACAGCACAATGCACTATAGGCCAATGACAATAGGCCTACTCTAGTGAACTTAGTGATACTTGCTCGGAGAAACTGGTGACCTTTAACGAATTCACTTGCGATGAAGTATTGAAAATTATCGGGAAGTCCAATCCCACTTCCTGTGATTTGGACCCTGTGCCGACACCCATCATCCTTGACAACATTGATCCTTTAATTCCGATTCTTACAAAAATATTCAACACTAGTGTTGAATATGGAATAGTGCCGTCTTCCTTTAAGTCAGCCCCAGTGAAGCCACTCCTGAAAAGGCCCAAGTAGACTCAGATCTGCTGAGCAACTACCGGCCAGTATCTCATCTCAGTTATGTTTCCAAGTTAGTTGAGCGTGCTGTATGCACATGACTACTGAACATCTAGATAAACATGACCTTCATGATCATCTCTAGTCTGCATTCCATACCCATCACAGCACAGAGACTGCATTGCTGAAAGTGATTAGTGATATTCGGCTAGGCATTGATAATAAGAAGCTTGCAGTTTTGGTACTTCTTGACCTAAGCAGTGCGTTTGACACCATCGATCACTGCAAACTCCTGGAACGTCTGAGGTTGGAATTTCTCATCAATGGAACAGCTTTAGAGTGGTTTAAATCATACCTGTCTGATAGAAGTCAGTGTGTAATCATTGACAAATGGTCATCTGACCCAGATTCCCCAAGGATCCGTCTTTATAATAGGACCGGTTCTTATCACCTTGTATATGAAGGAGCTTGGAAGTGTCGTGGAAAGACATGAAGTGGATAGACATCACTATGCTGATGACTCTCAAGTCTACAGATTCATAGAGTCAATGCCACTTCAGGCGCAGAGCTTTGAGTGAATTCAGCATATGTTGTGAGGACATCAAGGCGTGGATGTATTACAACAAACTAAAACTGAATAGTGACAAGACGGAAGGCATTGTCCTAGGGTCACAGAAAAGGAGATCACAGTGTGGTCTTACACTTTTCGAGTTTGATAATACAAACATCCAAATTGCTGACAAGGTCAAAGACCTTGGTGTAATTATCGACTCAGATGTGTCACTGGATGGTCACGTTTCCCATCTGGCCCAGTCCCTCACACAGCACCGCCCATCTCGCTCTCTCCATTCTCAGGATAAATGTTTCCGCGTTATCCCAACTGTGAGGACTTCTACATATTGTGAAAGGTCATTTTCGTATGCTACCTCTACAACCTGGAACCAACTACTCCCTATTCTAACCCCTGAATGGAATTTAATGGAGTCTTGTGTTTCGATTCATGTATGCACCACAACATTGCAAGTCTTGTGTAACCAGGTCAATAAACAATAAAACAATACTTTTTCCGATAAATACGTCTGTAAATGATTCTAAGAACGTACACCATTGTCGTGGTGCGTATCTGCTATGTTTTCTAAATTATTTCCTTCCGTATCGCTGATACGGCCCTTATCTGGAGCCCTGGTTTTGTATATACTTCTATGTCTTGCGCTTTGAGCATGTTGTAAATTGAAAATAGCGCATTACATGCATGCTATTATAATGGAATATTATTTGTTCGGACCAACGAAACTGTTAACTGATTAGTCACTGAACATAGTTTTTGTCTGACAATCATCACAACACTTTTATTATTATATCAGTTTGCAATTTGAATAGTGTCTAGTTTGGAGAAAGAGAATAGCAAATTTACATCTGTATATTTTTACATAAATTCAGCTAGGTGCAGGATGAGCATGATGTAATATGTTAGTAACTGGCTAATATAGATGGGATTTGCCCACACATCATAAAACCTTCCGCCAGCTTTGAAAGCACGCAAGTTTACTTAGGTTTAGGGTAAGGTTTTGGGATAGGCTGACGTGACACTAAACAATATGGCTGATAGGTATCCGGTATTCTGTAGGTGTACCGTTATTTTTAGTAACCAAAGTCAAATTACTTTGTATTTCATGAATTCTTTTTATATTTGATATATTGTAGATGATCATAAGTGGTTTTGATATCATTTGTGAGTTTTTTTAACGTTTAACTAAACAAACGCATTATATTTTCTCTAGTTTTGTTCGCCTAACTTTCTTACAGTGATGTTGTTGTGCTTTGGGGACGCGGCTTTATGGATATCTTCAATTTCAAACAACCATAGATGCCAAACATCCAATTTTAAGACAGTGATCTGTTGACATTTCATTCATATATAATACGTAAAACGTGTCAAGAACTGACTGTGGCCTGTTCACATACATGACATAGCAATAGATAGAGTTGTATGGAGAATTATGTTTAATCGGTAAGAGTTCCTCCCGTTCCCCCATCCCAAATAATATTTATAAATATACTAAAATTATTACCAAAACTTAACACAACAGTTACTAGAGAACTCACAAAATGACTAAAAGTCCAAAATTTAAGTTAGGGTTAGGTTTAAGATAAGGTTGAGGGTTAGGTAGAGTTAGGTTTATGGTTGGGCGAACGGAAGGAACTCTTTCCGTTTAATCAGTTTCCGCAGTGCCTTTGCAACCAACGAACTGTCAGCTTTGTTTTGATCGAAAACCGAACACTTTCTGAAAATCAACATGCATATCCAATGTCTATTCATGTCACTATGGAAAATGCATTTCTATCAAAATCTAACCTTAAACTTGTTTAGTCTCTCCTGCTGCTCTGCGCTGAGGGCACCAAGGTCCGAAGTTTTACCCAAATCGTACGGTTCCATTCCGTGAGGAGCATTATGTTTGGGTTGATCCGCCATTTTGAAATATTCCTTGACGATGAGTTCCAAACTCTTCCGCAGTGCCTGGCTACAGTCAGTGTGGTGCAAACGACACCTAGCGGCGCTGTGGTGTTTCCGCAAAGCTGTATACTTCGAAAGCGCCCCCTAACGGCACTGCGAAGAAGTTTTGCTGTTTGAAACTCGCGACAATATATTTATATACATAATATCGTTTCTATCAAAATGGTGACAGAGTTCAATTAATTATGTATAATCGAATTTGCTAAAACAAACTGAAAACATGTTTGGAAATATGTAAGAAACGTAGGTTTTTTTCTTTACGTTTCGAACACTCGATCACTTATAAATGTAGATCTACTGAACATTATAAATATATGATCTCTGCTATGTAAGGCAACGTTCATAATTTATAGATAGGGGGTGATGATGATTTTTATTGAGAAGCATGTACAATGTGAATGACCCCCCTAAAATGTATGTACAACGTAAGTAACACGCTAAACAATACTATAATTAATCTATGTAACAAACACGTGCCTAACAAAATTGTCACTATCAGGACAAAAGATGTGCCATGGATGAACAACGAAACTTGGAGTTTGATCCGAAAACGTAATCGCTTACAGAAGATTGCTAAACGGCGCAACTTACCTTCCGATTGGACAAAATTCAGACTATACAGACTGACTGACTGACTGAGTTTGGTTTTACGCCGCTTTTAGCAATATTCCAGCTACATCACGGTGGGGGAACACCAGAAATGGGCTTCACACATTGTACCCATGTGGGGATTCGAACCCGGGTCTTCGGCAGACTATACAGAAATAAAGCTGCATCATCCGTCAGAATGGCTAAACAATTACATACAGACAAAATTGATAAATTAATTAATGACAAGCATGGAACCAAAGTTTGGTGGCCTCCGATTAAAAATTATACAAAAGGCAAAAAATCATCAAGCTCCTTTCCTCCAGTATTAAATAATGATCAACGTTATGACGATAGCACTGAAATTGCAAATATAATGAATGAATATTTCACAAATCAAACAAAAGTTAGTTATCCAGACAGGGATATTGAAGAGGTTGTTTCGTATACTGATAATTCTTTAAGTGACGTTTATCTGAACCAAAACGAAGTTTATGATATTCTTTCTTTTGTAGATACTACAACAGCAATAGGCCCAGACGGAATTAGCAATAAGTTTCTGAAAATGAACGCTCGATTGTTGGCTGCCCCACTATCAGATGTCTTTAACCAATCCCTTTCTGAAAATACCTTTCCTCAAGTTTGGAAGGAAGCCTCTGTCGTTCCCATTCACAAAAAAGGTAGTATAAATGACTGTTCCAATTATAGACCCGTTGCACTCACAAGTTGTCTGGCTAAAAGTTTTGAAAAGTGCGTTTTCAAACACGTCTTCAATTATTTCAGAGATAACGACATAGTTTCTAATCTACAATCAGGATTTAAACCAGGCGATTCTACTGTTAATCAACTAACGTATTTATATGATTTTATTGCCGGTGCAGTAGATAAAGGAAAGGAAATAAGAGAAGTATTTTGTGATGTAAGCAAAGCATTCGACAGGGTTTGGCACAAGGGTATCATTTATAAATTAAAAAGATATGGTATAAAGGGTAATTTGTTAAAATGGTTAGAGAGTTATCTTGGATATATAGAGAACAACGTGTCGTAATTAATGGATTTAGATCTGATACTAAAGCTGTATTTGCTGGAGTACCCCAGGGTTCAGTATTGGGGCCGCTCTTGTTTATTGTTTATATAAATGATATAGTTGAAGGTATAAATAGTAATATACGCCTTTTTGCGGATGATACTTCTTTATATGCGATCATTGATGATCCTGGGTAACTGCTATTGTAATGAGCGATGACTTACAGCGAATTGCCGAATGGGCAGAAAAATGGCAAGTATCTTTTAATCCCAATAAGACAGAGTCAATATGCTTTACTCGTAAATTGCAACCAACTCCAATGCCGAACCTAACCATGAATGGTAATGTCATTAATTCCGTACAAAGTCATAAACATTTAGGTCTTATACTTCAGCATGATTGCTCATGGATTGCTCATGGAATGAACGCCACAAACAGGGAGGGACATTAGGATTTCGCATTTTTGTCAGTTGCGACAGTTGTGAGATAGCTGGAGGAAGCGTCGTAAAATCTAGCAACTATCACCGCTTCCTGGTTTTCTAGTGCCCACAGAAATAGTTCCCTCTTTAACAGGCCGTAACTCCGTTGTTCTTAGGTCTACAGTCAAAACAATTAGTGTTCTGTAATTGCCAGGATGTGATCTCTCCAGCAGTTTGCTTACCAGCCTGACTGTGACAGGAATACGCTTGATTTTTTTACCACAACAAAATCTACAAGATTTACCAGTAATCTCTTTTAGTATATGTCTGTAGATATTGCTGTATTATTTGCTTTGTTTGACTGTGTCTTCCTGTTTGTTTTTCTGCAGTTTGTTATTTTTCCGTTTGTGTAAGCAGCATTGAATCAATGCCAAATTAATCTCCAAAACACTGTAATGGGCGCTCCAGCTGGCGTCCAAAGAAACAGTACAAGTAAAGGTAGCCACGGGGAGTGTATGGGGAAGTCTGAAGACCGTCAGTATTGCCAAGGAGGCAATCCTAGTTTATTAATATTATTATGTACAAAATTCCCACACACCCCCAATACATGCGTACAAACGTGATAACCCCCTACCACCCCAGAACAAAATAGGTGATATCCACACTGACTGAGTGCCGGGTTATCACAGATACATAAAATCAAATCAATATATCGGTTAATTTGTTGGCAGGATGGGATAAAGAAGGAAGGAATGTCAGCAGTGAGGCTATAAGGAAATAAATCTAAATAAAATCATTAATTGAAGCAGATAAGCATGGATTCGTCAGCATGCATAACGTGATTTCCAACGGGGGTGTGGTGCGCAGTGCATCTGAATCCAAATTTAATAATGGCTCTGACAACACTGTCAAGACGAAAACATTCATTCAGAGATGCATGACCGAACGCTTCAACCACTGGACTACCCCAGAATCTCATACAAGTAAACTTGTATGGAAAGCAACAATCAAAACAATATTAATGTTTAGGTCCTCACATCACATTAGCCTATACCAAAAGACTAAAAACAAAATTCTGTTTTCGGCCTTACATGTTTCTATCCTATACACTCTGGGGTGCCACAAGTATATTCGATCCAGATTTTGAAATACACAATGACCTACTATCAAAGAATTGCTTCAACACTTCCTTGTATACATTTAACCGAGACCCCATGTCTGTTTGGGGGATGGTGTGTGTGTGTGTGTGTGTGTGTTACATCAGAGTGCAGAAAGTATCCGGTTCCGTGTTTACAACACAGTCGGCGCAATTACAGCAGTGTCATACTTAAAAAGAATGCTTTATGTTGAAAGGTCGGGAAAACATTGCTCAAGTATGGAATATCAATACAGACTACCCCTTTGTTCGGGGAGATGTACTAAAGAAAACCGGTTTGGCAGGCCAATGCGGAAGAGATCTTTACAAAACATTCTGAAATTGCACTGCCATGCTTTGTGAAACACCAGACAAAGGTTTTCGTTTAAGCTACTGACTCGGAATGAATTACGTACTTTGTAAATTTATCAAACAATTAAAAATTAATATATACTGGAGCGTTTATGCAACAGGCCCCATCGTCGTCTTGAAGAGGAAATACGGTATTTCAGTTCGAGAGTGAGTCAATGTTTACTTTCGAGCTAAACTATTATCCAAATATTTCAGATTGGGTGGAAGCGATGTGAAAACGCACATGGTATTAGCTGACAAAGTGACGTACAGGTAATCTGATATGAAACGATCGATGAACGGACGGACGTCTATTAAAGTAACTGCTGTGGTAGAAGGTAACGCTTATGACCTGACTTATGAGTGTGTCATTATGTCCCAGTGGAGTTGATAGAAACACATGTTATAGCTCCACTAACTCGTATGCACGTCCTGAGTAGATATTGTTGACTGCTTCTATAACCAACACACATCTATCTTAAGATGAGCTTATGTGGTTACATCCGTATCCGTCATATAACAGAACTTAAGCACTATATTTCTTCAAACCTACGGGGGCGGTGGGGTGTTTAGCCCATTTCTGGTGTTCCCCGCCGTGATATTGCTGGAATATTGCTAAAAGCGGCGTAAAACTAAACTCAGTCAGTCAGTCAGTCAAACCTACGATCCACAAAGCGTTCGTAACGTTACGACCTAGTTTACCATAGGCGGCTTCCTTACTCGGGACTGATAAAACCCCGTATTTCCCGATACACGATGTGATAACGCATTTATCTAGCCGAATGTTTTTACTAAATGAAAAGAAAAGAAAAGAAAATTCTCAATTGTTATGGCAAAACGTTTCCTCGCTGCCATGTTGACTCCAGCTGATCGACTGACCTCAATGCAGCGCACGTTACTAAAGGCTTGGCGATGAACGCTTTTCTCACTTCGCGTGGTCACCGAGGCGTGGCGGAATAATACCACTTTTGTACTCCCTGCTCGCGGATCGAGACGGGTGTACATGGTATGTTATCAGAGTCACGTGAACCAATCAAAACTCAACATTCTTACATTAGGCTGGATAATGATTTTTACCATGGTGTATAATATGTCAGGTGATTGCTTGTAAGTGCCATTTACAATGGTGTATACACTCTCCAAACAAAAAAGAAGAAAGAAACGCATATTCATTTTCATCAGTTCATTTCGATAATATATTTTTTTACAGCAATCGTCAGTCAGACAATTCCTATTGTTTGAATCCAGTTAAACATGCCGTGGTTGTTGTGTATTGCGCACAAACGCATCAAAAAAGTGTTTGTAAACGTTTGTAAGAAATATGAAAACGATACATAAAAAGTGCAAGCAGAAAAAAGGTTTTCCTGGTAGAGCATGTGCAATGTGTCGGACACATGGGTAGAGACATCGACTATAAAACCAAATGCATCATTTCATTTCGAAATTTACGACGTAAACGAAGACAAAAAAATGCCAAGATTGAATGCTACTGACCGAAATAGCGCCGACGTTTGGAAGCAGGGTCTCAGTCTGCCGTTGCAAGACACTTCAACGTCCACCACAACACCATATCTCGATTATGACATCGCCCCAAGATCGTCCCAAAAGTGGAACACCAAGAGTGAATACTCCTGCTCAGAACCGATTCATCCGGGTGTTTCACCTACGTCACCGATTTGCTACAGCAGTTAATGGACACTGCAGGACACGTGCCTGGTCTTCGAAGAATTTCCGACCAACCATCCGAAATCGTCTGAGAGAAGTGGGAATTCGGGGATATCGACCAAATGTTGGACCTGCCCTGACACGAATACACAGACAACGACGTGCCCATTTGTGCAACAGGGTACAGGCATGGAACCTGGGGAACGCGTTTGGTTCAGTGATGAATCGCGTTTCCTCCTGGGACGACGGGATGGGAGACGTGTCTATGAACGTTTTGCGCCGAACTGCGTTCGACAAGTGGACAGATTTGGTCGGGAAAGCTTCATGGTGTGGGGAGCCATGTCCTACACTGGTAGATCAGAGCTAGTGGTGGTTCAAGGCATTCTTACAGTGAATCGCTACATCGATGACGCGTTGTGTTATTATCAGGATAATTCCAGTTCATCGCAGCGGGCTTGGGCCCAGGACAGAAAGACCATGCAGTGCGTCATATTATCATTCACATTTCAAGTGGGGCGGTGGGGTAGCCTAATGGTTAAAGCGTTCGAATCCCCACATGGGCACAATGTGTGAAGCCCATTTTTGGTGTCCCCCGCCGTGATGTTGCTGGAATATTGCTAAAAGCGGCGTAAAACCTAAGTCAGTCAGTCACATTTCAAGTACCACGGCAACCTAGTCAATCACCCTGACCATCCCATAAAATTTAAACGCGTGGTCAAGTGGTTCTATCCGGGTCTTCCAAAAAGACGTTAGAGGACGGTACTTATTGTTAAAGGCGCTCGGCATTAACCAAACAAAAACAAGAATTGTTCGGCTTGAAGTCTTGTAATGTTTGTGAGTGGAACATACAAGTTATAGCGCTACGAAACCGGACTTGTACAAACACGTTTACGCACATACGCACACATTCAATAATCATGAACACCATAACTTTATCTACTTGGTCCGACGCTCAGACATGAGCCTGACCTCTCTATCGGCATTGCCAACGTCGTTTTAAGTCCGTCACATAGTGTTGTCACGACATTTAGTTTCGATATTGATCGTACGGATAGAAATACTTAATCCCCATTTATACAGAACCCGTTCATGTGCTATGTTTTCCTTACTGACGCCATTGTGTGATGATAAAGTTGTCACTGCTGCGTACCCATAGCAACTCTGGTTATGACTTTCAGACATGGCGATGGTTTTGCCTTGTAGTTAATGCGTCCACTCCCTAGATAGCATTCAGATGTTGGCCCAACGTTGGCAATGGTTTTGCCAACTTTGCCAATGTTGGCCCAACGTCCGAATGCTATCTGGATGGACGCGTCGAAGACCGGAGTTCGATTCCTTACATAGGTATATAACTATATATAGTCTGCAAAACCCATTCTCAGCCTCATGCCACTGTGACATGGTTGGAATATTGTGGGGAGACATCATGCTTAATATTAACATTTCACTTTCGTTAAAATATAGACAACAAAATCAAACGGTATTTTAGTGGTCTCCACAGGCAGCGTTAGTTAGTGGCTACACAGGGATATCATTGATAACCTTACTTTACACCAAACTTCGAGGGATTTACCGAAGCGCACAAAATCAATATGTCGATGGAAAGGTTTATAGGTTAACAGCACTGGTCTCATTGTGACATGATAATATCAATACAAACAAGTCCCTCTTTGGCGTACGACCTTCGAGGAACTTCCGGGTTAGTATAGGTCTTAAACCCCTAATATGAGGGAGTGTCGGGTGGTGAATCGCATGCTATCTTATCCGGGAAGAATGGACCGTTGCTCATGCTGTCATGCACAGGCTCACTTGGACTAAACCTAAATATTTACGGGACGCCTTGAAATATATGGGATATTAGTGATTGTGGAGTCTAATTACATTCACTCCTTGCGCTCTACGCTCTGTTTACAAGCATATATTGCACCTGAATATATAAATTCCAGTCCTTTCTAGGGTACATACATGGTCTTGGGTTCCTTAATCATCGTTGTCAAGATACGACACAGACATCTAAATCTGAGATAAGTGACAGACTAACACCGAATTGTGTTATGAAACTTTCACTCTAAATTGATTGTGTTCAGATTTACTCCGCACTCAGCAATATTCCAGCTATATGGCAGCGGTCTGTAAATAAACGAGTCTGGACCAGACAATCCAGTGATCAACAGCATGAGCATTGATTTGCGCAATTGGGAACCGATGACATGTGTCGACCAAGTCAGCGAGCCTGTCACTCTAAATGTACTTATGGTTTTATTACCCAGTAAGTGTGTATGATAGCACATGTGATTAACAGTCACGATAAACTCAAATCAATAAGTGGAAATAGATGCGCATTTCCTCCACGAAGCATTACCTAAAGAGTCACCTTTTATAGAAATATTGAAGGTCTGAAGTGAATCATAGCGCGGTCAACAAACAGCAGCATTACGTCAAGCCTATGTACTGAGTAATACAATCTAATTAACTGTATGTTGACACTAACTTTGATTCCCTAACTATAGATGAGTTAACGTTCGCCAGGCCATTTTTTTTTCACTTAGAGACTGCGTTCTGTGGGTGAGTTGCACTCGTGACTATAAGTTTTAAATTCCAATCCCCTTCAATAATGTTTACCAAGAATTGCTCACACTCACAATACATGAGTCGACACAAGTGCGTTTGACTCTTTATATCTACATGGATCTACGCAAGTGACGTGCGAAGGTAACGCGAGCCACTAAGACATGAATTTGGATTGCGGTGTGCATAAATGATATCAACTGTGACGTCACGCGTCGTGTTGGGTGAAGAGTATTATTACTATATTTAGCCCTGCACGCGATCCGGCCAGCCCAGCCCACTTCGATGATCAAGACGCGACATTCAGTTCAGAAGTAAACATGGACAGACCGCCTGTTGGAGACGTTGACGATTTGGCCACTTTGGCAAAACTTGACGAGCAAATTCTACTGGGAGAATTGCGTGAAAGATACAGGAAAGGTCGAATATACGTGAGTTGAAAGCTGTTGTTCTTGAGACATTTGCGAGCCACGAAGTCATTGACTGGAACGGGTAGCCTTGAAGTTTAGTCTTGACTGGAACGGGTAGTCGTTCTTATCAAGTGTCTTGAACATGTTGAGGGGCAAGCTGATAACAGATCATAGTCCTCGTATTTGACACGAATGCAAAATTTGAATAGAATATAGTCAATGGCACGGTATGTGTACATTGTTTTAATGTCAACACCCATGACAATGTATGCCATTGACATGACAGATATGGGTGACACATTATCAACCAACTAGGAAGTAAATTCACGTCGGCCTGGTGGAAGACGTATTCTAAGAAAATGCGACAGGTTATATAAGTTATAAATGGTGTTACTCATTTCTCTATTAACATATGCGGACCCAGAAGGGGGGAGGTGCGCCCCCGCCCCTTTTCTCCTGAAAGTTTATTAAATGACCATTGGAACAATGAAGTGTGCATCCTCCCTTTTCTCAATATTGTGCAAACCCACCCCCACTCAAAAAAGCTGTATCCGCCCTGACTAACCCTAATGTATTGTTGGTGATATGGTTCATAAGTTAATAAGTTAATAATATAATTAGACATTCCAGTACACTTTGGTGTACTGATAGTGGTAAGCTGAATAATACTGATCACACACAATATGTTCACATTTAAACATGATAGAAAGTTTTACTCTTGAGAGTTTATATGAATAACACTAAAATCTTTTTTTTTTTAAATATATGAGACAAATGTCATCTAAGCAGAAAGAAATCAGATAGAAGTGAGAGTGTGTACGGGGACAATATAAACATTATCTGTGTCTTCCTGTGGGTTAGGGACGGGTTGTAGGACATACCCCGAGGGTTAATGGGGTCACACTGCAAGGTGAGTGTGATCATTGTCAAGTCCTCATGTCTCAATGTCCTGGTGATGATTGATTGGCTGTCTCTTACAAACAAGGATATCACATGTCACTTTGACTCTCTTAATGGTTTCATCATTGCAATTTTCGACAGAAAATATTTGTACATGCATTATTTAATTAAATATGACTACGTGTTTTGATGAATACTAAACAATAAACATAAATATGTTGGCACATGTGTACTAAAAAATGAAAACATTAATGATGAATACTTTAAAATTTTGAAAATACATTGCAATTACAAAACCCCTGTTAAAATAATATTTGATATAATGGAACAAAGGTACTCAGCAGGGAAACATGTATCTATTTAAGTAATGACTTCCTCATAATGGATATATAACTGGAGTATGAATGCTTTGAACTTTGTACAGGAATAGCTAAGTGTATGTACCCCTGACACCAGGAATACACTGGTGTATAGACCCCTGACACCAGGAATATCCCAGTGTATATACCCCTGACACCAGGAATACCCCGGTTTATATACCCCAGACACCAGGAATACCAAGGTGGTATATACCCTTGACACCAGGAATACATCGGTGTTATATAGTATAACATTTACACCAGGAATACACCGGTGTATATCCTTGACACCAGGAATATCCCAGTGTATATACCCCTGACACCAGGAATACCCCAGTGTATATACCTCTGACAACAGCAATACACCGGTGTATATACCCCTGACTCCAGGAATACCCCAGTGTATATACCCCTGACACCAGGAATACCCCGGTGTATATACCCTTGACATAAGGAATACCCCAGTGTATATTCCCTTGACACCAGGAATATCCCGGTGTATATACCCTTGACACCAGGAATACCAAGGTGTACATACCCATGACACCAGGAATACATCAGTGTTATATAGTATAACCTTTACACCAGGAATACACTAGTGTATATACCCTTGACACCAGGAATAACCCAGTGTATATTTCCCAGACACCAGGAATACCAAGGTGTACATACCCTTGACACCAGGAATACATGTACCCCTGACACCAGGAATACCAAGGTGTACATACCCTTGACACCAGGAATACATGTACCCCTGACTCCAGGAATACCAAGGTGTACATACCCTTGTCACCAGGAATACCAAGGTGTACATACCCTTGTCACCAGGAATACACCAGTGTATATACCACTGACACCAGGAATATCCCAGTGTATATACCCTTGACACCAGGAATACCCTGGTGTATATACCCCGGACTCCAGGAATATCCCAGTGTATAAACCCGACTCCAGGAACATCCCAGTGTATATACCCCTCACACCAGGAATATCCCAGTGTATATACCGAGGACTCCAGGAATATCCCAGTGTATATACCCCTGACACCAGGAATACCCCAGTGTATATATCCCTGACACCAGGAATACCCTGGTGTATATACCCCTGACACCAGGAATACCCTGGTGTATATACCCTTGACACCATGAACCAGTGTATATACCCCTGACACCAGAAATACCCTGGTGTATATACCCCTGACACCAGGAATACCCCAGTGTATATACCCCGGACACCAGAAATATCCTGGTGTTTATACCCCTGACACCAGGAATACCCCAGTGTATATATCCCTGACACCAGGAATACCCAGTGTTTATGCCCTTGACACCAGGAATACCCCAGTGTATATACCCCTGACACCAGGAATATCCCAGTGTATATACCCTTGACACCAGGAATACCCCAGTGTATATACCCCAGACTCCAGGAATTCCCTGGTGTATATACCCCTGACACCAGAAATACCCTGGTCTTTATACCCCTGACACCAGAAATACCCTGGTGTATATACCCTTGACTCCAGGTATATATCCCAGTGTATATACCCCTGACACCAGGAATATCCCAGTATATATACCCCTTACACCAGGAATATCCCAGTGTATATACCCCTGACACCAGGAATACCCCGGTGTATATATATCCTTGACACCAGTATACCCCAGTGTATATACCCCTGACACCAGGAATACCCTGGTGTATATACCCTTGACTCCAGGAATATCCCAGTGTATATACCCCTGACACCAGGAATATCCCAGTGTATATGTACCCTTGACACCAGTATACCCCAGTGTACATACCCCTGACACCAGAAATACCCTGGTGTATATACCCTTGACTCCAGGTATATATCCCAATGTATATACCCCTGACACCAGGAATATCCCAGTGTATATACCTCTGACACCAGGAATATCCCAGTGTATATACCTCTGACACCAGGAATATCCCAGTGTATATATACCCTTGACACCAGTATACCCCAGATGTTTATACCCCTTACACCAGGAATACTCCCAGTATGTATCTTTGGATCAGGGACACATGCCACTGATTTAGGTAGGTAGTCTGGTTCAGACTGGTTTATTCAGGAGTGACAAATCAAACAATGTTAATGTGTTTTTTATTTCAGACGTATGTTGGAGATATCCTGATAGCAGTCAACCCATACAAGGATCTGGGGATTTACGGCAAAGATGTGAGTGGTATTACAGCAGTCTATCTATGTTACGTGAGACACAGACAGAAATGCTGAGACAGATATACCAACTGAATTCAGTTGACCCTATCTTTTGTGCCAGTTAATTGTACAACATATGGAAACAAAATTAAATTATTTGTCTTCTCTAGATTTCACTGATCTTTTTGTCCAGGAGCTCTGACATCACTGACGGGACATAACTCACTTCAGATGATAGTGTTACATGTAGATGAGCCGACCCCCTTCTACATGCTTCTTTTTGGGGTTTTCAAAATTTGGCTTAATTATCTACGGTCATATACAGTACCTGAAAAATGCCATTGGTTCTCAAATTAACTATTCATCTTTCTCCAATTTTGGCAAAGTTTTTAAATAATGAATCGTGTATCAGTGATTGCCTATAGTATTTACTTCTGACCTGAAAATTTCACTATGAATGTTACAGGTTTATTACTATCAGAATCATTAGTTTGATACTAAACAGTAATGAGATATCTGATCAATGTAGATTTTGTATCAGGGGGGTCTGATGATAATCATAGCTTCTCCTGCTGGGGAACCAGAACATGTCTCCCTTTGAGCAGTAGGTTCCTTAAGTATCATTACGTGATTGTGTGACTGTATAGTTGTGTCCATGCAATCACATTGGATCTCAGTTTCATGCTCAAAGTCATTGTGTCACTGTTTTAATTTATATTTCACTGTCTTTTGATAGATACTGTTATTGTGTTGCTGTCATTGTGCATGTCGTTTTGTGTCTGCCATGTCATTGTGTCACTTGATCATTGTGTCTGTCACATCATTGTTTCTTTGTTTTGTCTCATTGTTTCTCTGTAATATCATTGTTTCTCTGTCCTGTCATTGTGTCTCTTGTCACATCATTGTTTCTCTGTCATATCATTGTTTCTCTGTCCTGTCATTGTGTCTCTTGTCACATTATAGGTTTCTCTGTCCTGTCATTGTGTCTCTGTCCTGTCATTGTGTCTCTTGTCACATTATAGGTTTCTCTGTTTTGTCATTGTTTCTCTGTCCTGTCATTGTGTCTCCTGTCACATCATAGGTTTCTCTGTTTTGTGATTGTTTCTCTGTCCTGTCATTGTGTCTCTTGTCACATCATAGGTTTCTCTGTTTTGTGATTGTTTCTCTGTCCTGTCATTGTGTCTCTTGTCACATTATAGGTTTCTCTGTCATATCATTGTTTCTCTGTCCTGTCATTGTGTCTCTTGTCACATTATAGGTTTCTCTGTTTTGTGATTGTTTCTCTGTCCTGTCATTGTGTCTCTTGTCACATCATAGGTTTCTGTGTTTTGTGATTGTTTCTCTGTCCTGTCATTGTGTCTCTTGTCACATTATAGGTTTCTCAGTTTTGTCATTGTTTCTCTGTCCTGTCATTGTGTCTCTTGTCACATTATAGGTTTCTCAGTTTTGTCATTGTTTCTCTGTCCTGTCATTGTGTCTCTTGTCACATTATAGGTTTCTCTGTTTTGTCATTGTTTCTCTGTCCTGTCATTGTGTCTCTTGTCACATTATAGGTTTCTCTGTTTTGTGATTGTTTCTCTGTCCTGTCATTGTGTCTCTTGTCACATTATAGGTTTCTCTGTTTTGTCATTGTTTTTCTGTCCTGTCATTGTGTCTCTTGTCACATTATAGGTTTCTCTGTTTGTGTTTTCTCTGTTGTCATTGTCTCTCTTGTCACATTATAGGTTTCTGTCCTGTCATTGTTTCTCTGTCCTGTCATTGTGTCTCTTGTCACATTATAGGTTTCTCTGTTTTGTCATTGTTTCTCTGTCCTGTCATTGTGTCTCTTGTCACATTATAGGTTTCTCTGTTTATCATTGTTTCTCTGTCCTGTCATTGTGTCTCTTGACACATTATAGGTTTCTCTGTTTTGTGATTGTTTCTCTGTCCTGTCATTGTGTCTCTTGTCTTGTCACATTTTCTCTATAGGTTTCTCTGTGTTTTGTCATTGTTTCTCTGTCCTGTCATTGTGTCTCTTGTCTGTCACATTATAGGTTTTTCTCTGTTTTGTCATTGTTTCTCTGTCCTGTCATTGTGTCTCTTGTCACATTATAGGTTTCTCTGTTTTGTGATTGTTTCTCTGTCCTGTCATTGTGTCTCTTGTCACATTATAGGTTTCTCTGTTTTGTCATTGTTTCTCTGTCCTGTCATTGTGTCTCTTGTCATTATAGGTTTCTCTGTTTTGTTTTTGTGATCTGTCCTTCTCTGTCCTGTCATTGTGTTTCTTGTCACATTATTGTGTCTCTTGTGTTTTGTGATTGTTTCTCTGTCCTGTCATTGTGTCTCTTGTCACATTATAGGTTTCTCTGTTTTGTGATTGTTTCTCTGTCCTGTCATTGTGTCTCTTGTCACATTATAGGTTTCTCTGTTTTGTCATTGTTTCTCTGTCCTGTCATTGTGTCTCTTGTCACATTATAGGTTTCTCTGTTTTGTGATTGTTTCTCTGTCCTGTCATTGTGTCTCTTGTCACATTATAGGTTTCTCTGTCATATCATTGTTTCTCTGTCCTGTCATTGTGTCTCTTGACACATTATAGGTTTCTCTGTTTTGTCATTGTTTCTCTGTCCTGTCATTGTGTCTCTTGTCACATTATAGGTTTCTCTGTTTTGTCATTGTTTCTCTGTCCTGTCATTGTGTCTCTTGTCACATTATAGGTTTCTCTGTTTGTCATTGTTTCTCTGTCCTGTCATTGTGTCTCTTGTCACATTATAGGTTTCTCTGTTTTGTCATTGTTTCTCTGTCCTGTCATTGTGTCTCTTGTCACATTATAGGTTTCTCTGTTTTGTCATTGTTTCTCTGTCCTGTCATTGTGTCTCTTGTCACATTATAGGTTTCTCTGTTTTGTCATTGTTTCTCTGTCCTGTCATTGTGTCTCTTGTCACATTATAGGTTTCTCTGTCATATCATTGTTTCTCTGTCCTGTCATTGTGTCTCTTGTCACATTATAGGTTTCTCTGTTTTGTCATTGTTTCTCTGTCCTGTCATTGTGTCTCTTGTCACATTATAGGTTTCTCTGTTTTGTCATTGTTTCTCTGTCCTGTCATTGTGTCTCTTGTCACATTATAGGTTTCTCTGTTTTGTCATTGTTTCACTGTCCTGTCATTGTGTGTCTTGTCACATTATAGGTTTCTCTGTTTTGTCATTGTTTCTCTGTCCTGTCATTGTGTCTCTTGTCACATTATAGGTTTCTCTGTTTTGTCATTGTTTCTCTGTCCTGTCATTGTGTCTCTTGTCACATTATAGGTTTCTCAGTTTTGTCATTGTTTCTCTGTCCTGTCAGTGTGTCTCTTGTCACATTATAGGTTTTTCTGTCATATCATTGTTTCTCTGTCCTGTCATTGTGTCTCCTGTCACATCATAGGTTTCCCTGTTTTGTGATTGTTTCTCTGTCCTGTCATTGTGTCTCTTGTCACATTATAGGTTTCTCTGTTTTGTCATTGTTTCTCTGTCCTGTCATTGTGTCTCTTGTCACATCATAGGTTTCTCTGTTTTGTGATTGTTTCTCTGTCCTGTCATTGTGTCTCTTGTCACATTATAGGTTTCTCAGTTTTGTGATTGTTTCTCTGTCCTGTCATTGTGTCTCTTGTCACATTATAGGTTTCTCTGTTTTGTCATTGTTTTTCTGTCCTGTCATTGTGTCTCTTGTCACATTATAGGTTTCTCTGTTTTGTCATTGTTTCTCTGTCCTGTCATTTCGTCTCTTGTCACATTATAGGTTTCTCTGTCATATCATTGTTTCTCTGTCCTGTCATTGTGTCTCTTGACACATTATAGGTTTCTCTGTTTTGTCATTGTTTCTCTGTCCTGTCATTGTGTCTCTTGTCACATTATAGGTTTCTCTGTTTTGTCATTGTTTCTCTGTCCTGTCATTGTGTCTCTTGTCACATTATAGGTTTCTCTGTCATATCATTGTTTCTCTGTCCTGTCATTGTGTCTCTTGTCACATTATAGGTTTTTCTGTCATATCATTGTTTCTCTGTCCTGTCATTGTGTCTCCTGTCACATCATAGGTTTCTCTGTTTTGTCATTGTTTCTCTGTCCTGTCATTGTGTCTCTTGTCACATTATAGGTTTCTCTGTTTTGTGATTGTTTCTCTGTCCTGTCATTGTGTCTCTTGTCACATTATAGGTTTCTCTGTTTTGTGATTGTTTCTCTGTCCTGTCATTGTGTCTCTTGTCACATTATAGGTTTCTCAGTCATGTCATTGTTTCTCTGTCCTGTCATTGTGCCTCTTGTCACATCATAGGTTTCTCTGTTTTGTCATTGTTTCTCTGTCCTGTCATTGTGTCTCTTGTCACATCATAGGTTTCTCTGTTTTCTCATTGTTTTCTGTCCTGTCATTGTGTCTCCTGTCACATCATAGGTTTCTCTGTTTTGTCATTGTTTCTCTGTCCTGTCATTGTGTCTCTTGTCACATTATAGGTTTCTCTGTTTTGTGATTGTTTCTCTGTCCTGTCATTGTGTCTCTTGTCACATTATAGGTTTCTCTGTTTTGTGATTGTTTCTCTGTCCTGTCATTGTGTCTCTTGTCACATTATAGGTTTCTCAGTTTTGTCATTGTTTCTCTGTCCTGTCATTGTGCCTCTTGTCACATCATAGGTTTCTCAGTTTTGTCATTGTTTTCTGTCCTGTCATTGTGTCTCTTGTCACATTATAGGTTTCTCTGTTTTGTCATTGTTTCTCTGTCCTGTCATTGTGTCTCTTGTCACATTATAGGTTTCTCTGTTTTGTCATTGTTTTTCTGTCCTGTCATTGTGTCTCTTGTCACATTATGGGTTTCTCAGTTTTGTCATTGTTTCTCTGTCCTGTCAGTGTGTCTCTTGTCACATTATAGGTTTTTCTGTCATATCATTGTTTCTCTGTCCTGTCATTGTGTCTCTTGTCACATTATAGGTTTTTCTGTCATATCATTGTTTCTCTGTCCTGTCATTGTGTCTCCTGTCACATCATAGGTTTCCCTGTTTTGTGATTGTTTCTCTGTCCTGTCATTGTGTCTCTTGTCACATTATAGGTTTCTCTGTTTTGTCATTGTTTCTCTGTCCTGTCATTGTGTCTCTTGTCACATCATAGGTTTCTCTGTTTTGTGATTGTTTCTCTGTCCTGTCATTGTGTCTCTTGTCACATTATAGGTTTCTCAGTTTTGTGATTGTTTCTCTGTCCTGTCATTGTGTCTCCTGTCACATCATAGGTTTCTCTGTTTTGTCATTGTTTCTCTGTCCTGTCATTGTGTCTCTTGTCACATTATAGGTTTCTCTGTTTTGTGATTGTTTCTCTGTCCTGTCATTGTGTCTCTTGTCACATTATAGGTTTCTCTGTTTTGTGATTGTTTCTCTGTCCTGTCATTGTGTCTCTTGTCACATTATAGGTTTCTCAGTTTTGTCATTGTTTCTCTGTCCTGTCATTGTGCCTCTTGTCACATCATAGGTTTCTCTGTTTTGTCATTGTTTCTCTGTCCTGTCATTGTGTCTCTTGTCACATCATAGGTTTCTCTGTTTTCTCATTGTTTTCTGTCCTGTCATTGTGTCTCCTGTCACATCATAGGTTTCTCTGTTTTGTCATTGTTTCTCTGTCCTGTCATTGTGTCTCTTGTCACATTATAGGTTTCTCTGTTTTGTGATTGTTTCTCTGTCCTGTCATTGTGTCTCTTGTCACATTATAGGTTTCTCTGTTTTGTGATTGTTTCTCTGTCCTGTCATTGTGTCTCTTGTCACATTATAGGTTTCTCAGTTTTGTCATTGTTTCTCTGTCCTGTCATTGTGCCTCTTGTCACATCATAGGTTTCTCAGTTTTGTCATTGTTTTCTGTCCTGTCATTGTGTCTCTTGTCACATCATAGGTTTCTCTGTTTTCTCATTGTTTCTGGGGCGTTGGGGTAGCCTAGTGGTTAAAGCGTTGTCTCGTCACGCCGAAGACCCGGGTTCGATTCCCCACATGGGCACAATGTGTTAAGCCCATTTCTGGTGTCCCCGGCCGTGATGTTGCTGGAATATTGCTAAAAGCGGCGTAAAACTAAACTCAGTCAGTCAGTCTCATTGTTTCTCTGACCAGTTATTGTGCCTCTTGTCACATCATTGTTTCTCTGTCCTGTCATTGTGCCTCTTGTCACATCATTGTTTCTCTGTCCTGTCATTGTGTCTCTTGTCACATCATTGTTTCTCTATCATGTCATTATTTCTCTGTCCTGTCTTTGTGCCTCTTGTCACATCATTGTTTCCCTGTTATGTCATTGTTTCTCTGTTTTCTCATTGTGTCTGTATAATGTCACTGTGTCTCTGTCCTGTCAGGTGGCTCAAAGGTACAAAGGAGCCAAGAAAAGCAGCAACCCTCCCCACATCTTTGCCATTGCTGATGCTGCCTACCAATCACTTATGGGTCAGGGAGGTCGTCTCCCTAGCAACCAGTGCATCCTCATTAGTGGGGAGAGTGGGGCAGGGAAGACTGAGAGCACAAAGCTCATCATCAAACAGCTGATCAGTTTGTGTGGGGGCAATCTCCAGTCGTCCACCGCGCAGTTGGAGCAACAGATTTTACAGGTACACTAAGATTGATCTTCCTTTCACCATCTCACAAAATCAATCTTACAAAATGAATACACACTAAATTTGACATTTATATACTGGTTTATCTCAACTTAAACGAGGTTTAACTATCTGTTGCGTTCATATGTTTCGCGGTTTCGTGTCCAACTCACTCACTCACCCTGTGATAAAGTGTGATGTCCTGTTCTTGTTGACTGCCAGGTAAACCCACTGCTGGAGGCATTCGGCAATGCCCAGACCAACATGAACGACAACTCTAGTCGCCTCGGCAAGTACATCCAGCTCAAGTTCAGGAAAGGCGTGGGTAAGTTATGTCATATTACCTGGGGTACAACATGGATTCATCGATTCAAATTAAAGTCAACTGAGGTTACCACGTAACTGAATCTTTTCATGGGAATCTTATACTTGAATAATCTTGGATAATATACTGACTCTCTTGGGGCGGTGGGGTAGCCTAGTGGTGAAAGTGTTCGCTTATCACGCCGAAGATCCGGGTTCGATTCCCCACATGGGTACTATATGTGAAGTGTCCTCCGCCATGATATTGCTGGAATATGGCTAGAAGTGGCATAAAACAAAAACATTCTCACTCACTACTGACTTTCTCCATGGCTACTCTACTGATGCCCTGTGTTATAATGATGATGTTGTGATATACAGTCCACTGTGTGTACCTAACTCTGTGTCATGATGATATACTAATATTCAGATCACTGATATACAGATCACCATGTGTATCTCAAACTGTTATGATAATGACATGCTGATATACACTCCACTGTGTCTACCTCACATTGTGTCATCATGACAAGGGGCGGTGGGGTAGCCTAGTGGTCAAAGCGTTGGCTTGTCTCGCCGAAGACCCGGGTTCGAATCCCCACATGGGTACTATGTGAGAAGCCCATTTCTGGTGTCCCGCCGTGATGTTGCTGGAATATTGCTAAAAGCGGCGTAAAACCAAACTCAGTCAGTCATCATGATGATATACTAAGATACAGTCCACACTGTGTCTACCTTCCCTATCTGTGTGTCTACATCAGCTGTGTTTTATTAATGATACCCTGACCTCCCTTCCTCTTACAAGTGATGGGTGCTAAGATCTCGGAGTATCTGCTGGAAAAGTCACGGGTGGTGCGTCAGAGTCCTGGGGAGGAGAACTTCCACATCTTTCACTACATTTTCGCCGGACTGTCCCCAGAACTGCAGGACAAGTTTGTCCTCAGGGACGTCAGCAAGTACAGGTAGGTCAGGATAACGTCTCCATGGATAGGTATTATGATGACTTCCATAACACACACCAGTTGAGCTCAGATTGGAAGGAATTACCTGTGTATGGTTCTGTTTATGTGTAGTCTGTGGTTCTTCACTTGAGAAATGTTATATTTGTAACCGTTCTTACATCACATATGAAGAGGTTAATGGGATTAGTAACAATAAAGGCAGTTAACTCCCTTAGTCATTTGATGTATGTAGTAGATGATATAGGTTTTAGAAAATACTGTCTGACCATATCTACCAACTAGGGAATATAACTGATGTATTCCATCCAGGTATCTATCCAATGGCCCCAAGGTGCTGCAGCAGAAGAGTGGCCTTTTGAAGGGGCGATACGAGGAACTTTGTAACGCCATGGATCTGGTTGGCTTCACAGACGAGGTACAGATACATTGACATTTGACAAGAGCTATAGGGTTGTTACAGAAAACATGAGAACAAACTGTGTACAGTATTTGCAGTATTAAATGCCTTACTCCAATATACATTCTCGACTAACTTCTGGCCAGTCTGTATGTAATCTTTATCAGTGTTCACTATAAACATGGAAAATGTAAGTGACAGTATTGTTTTCATGAAAGTATTTTCTTTCGTAAGAGTTATCCTTAATACTTTCATTCATGCTTGGAGTGTTTGTTCGCAACCGATCCTATTCGAAAATTAAATGTACTTTGTTTTTCATGGTCAGAGCCTTAATATCTCAGTTTCCTAAGCACGCAAGGCAGTTATGAAGTATTCAGTACATATATTTGGAGGTGAAGAATTCTTTGTGTGTTTTAGGAACAAACTGAAGTGTTCACTGTGATAGCCAGTGTGCTGCACCTTGGAAACATCCGATTTGGCTCCAATGAGCAAGATGCGGCAATGGTTTTGGACCCCAATGGAGCTGTGAAGGTGGCATCAGTGAGTTACTGCATGACATGGAGATTACCCTGGGACATGGACAAATCGTCATCTTGAATGTAGCAGGGGTCTGGGGGACCAAGTTTTCTAAAGGAATAACTGTTTGCTCTGCAGAGTTTCATTTAACAGGTTTAAATCCTAGAATTGCCCTGTTGTGATTGTATGTATGAAACCAGCATTACGGGTCATTGATTTTGTACATGACATGCAGGCGGGTCACTTACTTTGTACATAAAGTTTAGTGGGGGGCCATTGACATTGAACATGCTCCTCCATAAAAATCATCATCTGAGCCCGCTATAGCCATGAATTATGAACAGTCCTTTAAGCTGACACACATTGATAGAGGTGAGGTGAAATTGGGTTTAACGTCGTGCTTGAGAATATTTCGCTCATATGACGATGTGCATGCGTGTGTATGTGAATGTGCGGCTGCTTGTACTAGCCCAGACTGATGCTGGTTTTGTAGTGCTAGCCCACTGAGATACCATGCCGCAGTGAAGCATGAATACCCCACTCAGACACATTATACTGACTGGGAGCCGACCAGTCCTTGTTGTACCCATTAATGCTGAGCGCCAGACAGGGACCAACAAGTACAATATTTTAATGTCTTTTGGTATGACGCGGTCGGGGATCGAACCCGCGACCTTCTGCTCTCCAGGCGGACGCTCTAACCACACACATTGCTATGACTGTTGACCATCTCACTGTGGAAGTATAGAGGTGGGTAGACGTGTGGAAGATAAAGGATTTGATGCTGTGTGTAGATGCTGTTGCAAGTGGACCCAGAGGAGGTGGAGGCGTGTCTGACATCCATGGTGACGGTCATCAAAGGGGAGTATGTGAAGCAGCTGTACAGTAAACAGCAGGCTGAAGGTGAGTCATACTGAAGACGGAGACTGGAGAGGGGTTGCATGGAGGGATGGGGGGATTGATGGGATGGGAGATGGGGCAAGTGACAGGGATATCGGGTGAATAACAGTGGTATGGGGTGAGAAAATGGGGAATTGGGATGTGAGAGAATTGTCATTTAGGGCGTGATTAGTAACATTGGGGATGAACATGGCAATACCCTGATATAATCCAGTCTTACAGCAGTGTTCTCTATTGTCAGATGCCAGGGACGCCATGGCCAAGACACTCTATGGACGTCTGTTTGGCTGGATAGTCAACAAGATCAACTGCTTGCTCGCACCAGAGGAAGATATTCCCTCTGATGAACTCCGGGAGATTGGTGAGTTTTGTAGAAATTGCTCTATGTGAATACAATGTATGATACTACCTAAGCTCCCTATAAGTCATTAGAAATGTCTTGACTGAAACTGATGTATGATCTTGTGTGTTTCAGGGATCCTCGACATATTTGGGTTTGAGCATTTTGAGACGAATAGTTTTGAGCAGGCGTGTATCAACTTAGCCAATGAGCAGCTGCAATTCTTCTTCAATGAGGTAACTCCTGCCATGATAGTTCAGTCTCTTCCACCGTAGATCAGTTTACAATGCCTGTCTGTTCCCAATTGTTGCTGAGTGAGACTGTTGTCAGTCCCTTAGTGAGACTTGCCCGTTCCCAGTTGTCTGTCTGTTGTCAGATCCAAAGCATCTGGCTGATGTCTGGTCACTAATGTTTGATTGTTGTCTGTCTGTTATATATGCCAATGTTCTTTTATCTGTCTTGAAATTTCTTTGTGTTGTCCTTCTGGGCCATTGTCTCTTTTTGTCTTTCCTCCATTGTCTGACTGTTGTCTGTTCCACACTTGTCTTCTGGTTATCTGTTGTTTGGTCCCAATTGCATTCTTTTGTTTCCAATTGTCTGTCGTTTGGTTGTTCTCCATTGTCTGTCCTTTTGTCTGTCAACTGTCATTTGTCTGTCCTCTGTGCCCTGTTTGTCTTTTTATCCCAGTTCTGATGTTGTCCACTAAAACTCTGTCTGTCGTCTGTCCACTGAAAGCCTCTCAGTTGTATGTCCACTAAATGTCTGTTGTCTGTCAACTAGAATCCTGTCTGTTGTCTGTCCACTAAAAGCCTGTCTGTTGTCTGTCCACTAGAATCCTCTCTGTTGTCTGTCCACTAAAAGCCTGTCTGTTGTCTGTCCACTAAAAGCCTGCCTGTTGTCTGTCCACTAAAAGCCTGTCTGTTGTCTTCCACTAAAAGCCTGTATGTTGTCTGTCCACTAAAAGCCTGTCTGTTGTCTGTCCACTAGAATCCTGTCTGTTGTCTGTCCACAGCACATTTTCAAAATGGAGCAGGAGGAATACATTAGAGAAGGTATCGACTGGAAGGAGATTAAGTTTGTGGACAACAAGCCCCTTCTGGTATGTATGCAGATGTACACATCATTTCAGAATCTGTATATTTCTTTCAATGAATTATTGATTTAGCAACATATTTGGGTCATTCTCAAAAAAAGGCCAAATTCGTGCTATGAAAAATATGAAAATACAAAGCATCATACTGAATTATCTCATTATTGTTTTGAATGGTCAACACATTAAAAAATGCGGTCATGATAATTTGCACACAGGAAAGTAATAAAATATTTTTAAAATAAACTTTTTTAAAGTATCCACTGAAAAAACCCGTCAGTGGTGTAACAAGCATAAAAGTATTCTTTTTCAAACTTTGATGTCAGATAAGGAATTTTTCACATTTGTCATTATTTACAAACTTTTTCTATTTTCAAATATAAAATTAAATCGTTTCATTATTCTCACATATTTAATTGTAAATTTAGCAAAAAGGGCTTGGTGTGAGAAGAATGTAATGGTAACATATGATATTTTTTCCTGAAATAACTTGTATACTTAAGACTGAACATGTTTTATGTATACAGTGGTATTAAAGCTGTTTTCAGTTATCATAAAATATCAGTCTAACTGTTAAATTATTCTTTTGAAATAATTAAATGTTAGCTAATATGCATGTTACACCACTGATATTTTTTGATATCCTGCCTGTTACACCACTGAACTTTCTGCAACTTACTGGAACAGTAAACCAAATCAACAGCCATATGATGCTTTGGATTACTTAATAATCATCATTGGAGAACGGCTTTCCAACATGTGGCATTGGAAAACAAATTATATCAACAGTTAAGATTAAAATGTACAAATTCAAAGAATACTGTGACACCAATGACATGTTGTGTTACACCACTGATTTTTCTTTACCTCACTCTAAATATAAATCCAAATTAATTGCCTTTAATTGATAATTAACAGATTTAAACAGCTCAACAGCAAATTCTGAACACTCAGATTTTTAAAATGGTTTTAAAAAATAATGATACAAAAATTGCAATAAAATGTCACATATTGTTTTAAAAGGGTTTTCAAAAATAGTAATGTACAAAAGCAATAAAATGTACATATTGTTGTAACATGGTTACACCAATGACATTTTTGTTACACCACTGATTTTTATTGAATCAACTTCAACGATAAATTCAAATTAATTGCCTTTAATTGATCATTAACAGAATTGAACAGCTCAATAGCAACTTTTGAACACTCAGATTTTAAAAGGTTTTTCACAAATAATATTAAAAACAATAAAATGAACATATTGTAGTAATACTGTTACACCAATGACATTTTTTGTTACACCACTGATTTTTCTGAACTTTATATACTAATATACCAGAACAAATTACCTTCACAGACTTTACATGAGTTAATGGTCATAAAATATACTGGATAAATACAATGCAAAGCAGTTGAGTTTTGTGAACAAGTGACTTAAATGAACATTTTGTCAGTGGTGTAACAAAAACTGTCAGTGGCGTAACATTTTCCCATGTTATACCACTGACAGTTACACCTGACTGACCTATTCCCACTTTTATGAACTTTATTACAATTAATGCTCCCTAACCACAGACCACCTGGCATAAATGTTGATGTTTTAGCAACTTTGATGTACTTTAAATAAACATTGTTATGAAAAAGAACACATGAATAAGAAATCAACGTTACACCACTGACTCCATAAAAAGTTATGATATAAAGTAGACTCACCAACTGCATCAAACTTCAACATCAAAATAAAATTTGGCCTCCACAAAACTTCTGCCATGAGAAGAAAGTCATCAGCAAAGGGACCATTTAGTGTTTCATATTTTTTACTCAAACGAGATAATTATTAATGTCACAAGTTTATATTCGTTACACCACTGACTGTGACATTTTGGACAGTCAATGTTTTCATTGTAATTATGTGATTTTCATTTTGTTTTCAATATTTCATGCAGGAATGTGTTTTTAATATTGGTGTTTCATTCTAAATCTTTAAAAAATATGTATAAATACCCTGGAATTTAAACTTTATGGTACTGCAAAGTAATGTCGCTGTCCACTGACAGTGGGTTTTTTTTCACAATGATGATAAAAACCCAATTTTGTCCCAAAAATAACAAACAGGTACACCATTTTACATCATTGTGAGGAACAAAATACTTTTTTCTTTCATAATATGATTTTTGAAAAAAAAATGAAACAATATTTTCAGAGCAATGTGTTACTGACCAAAAGTTGGGCAAATTTTGAAAATGACCCATTCCTTGTATTAATTGAACAAACCTATATTTCAGGATATGTTTCTGACAAAGCCGATAGGACTTCTGGCTCTATTGGATGAAGAAAGCATGTTCCCTAAGGTAAGTGTTGTGGCCCACTTAAAATCCAAACCAGAAAAGACATAACTGTGTCACTGTGGAGAGGTGCAATTTCTACACTATATAAATAAGGGTTTATCAGTTGACAAGTCTCTGTAATTTTAAAAAATCATTCACTGGCTGAAGTGTTCTAGTTTCACTTTAAGTTTGCTCAATGGCACATCAAGGAAGACACTGTAGGGTGAGGCCGACCCAGCTACTTGTAAATGTCACGGTGATATATCGCCCTACTTGTCTTCTCAGCTCTACAACTATATGAATACATACCATGCTGTTGTTGGCAGGGGGAGGTTTTTCAGGTTTTACGGTGCTAGTCCATTCCAAACCAGACCTTGATAAGTATTTGGACTGTGTTCTCTATTTACAATTTGAAAACAAATCTGAAAATGAAATAATATTCTTGAATGTTTAATTGATGGCAGTACCATCCAAGGACAATTAAAAGTCTTTTCGATTTAAACTGTTTGCTGTTTTGAAGTGAGAATCAGATGATGATTTTAACTGATTCAGTAGTATAGCCTGTAACTGTCACTTGGAACTCCTTGTGATAACCTATTCAAGGTTGCATGGTTAGAAAAAATATTCAGTCTTTCACTATGATCTGATTTTGATGAGATTAATATGTGTTTGGGTACTCTTTTAGAAACAAATTCTATGCTGTCTCAAGACAAAATGCATGATCTGGAGTTTCCTTCTCCATAAGATGTTGTCAAAGTTCATTCGTAACTACTTCGTGTCATTCCGGCAAGCCGGATGGCGTCTCGTACCCCTCTTGTGGCCATGTTTATGACTGGGCCCTGGCTAAGCGCAAACGGGCATGGAGATGAAAATAGTCTAGTACCATTACAAAGGAAAGATAACTCAAAACAAATTTCCAAACATGGCTCATAGAATATCCTACACACCGTGGGCAAAACAGCAATACAGTCGTTCCCTTTGTAAATATGTTTCAGTGTTTAAAGTTTCTGATCCTTTAGCTCAAAGTTTATGTTTAAATTGCGCTTTGCATAGTTTAGCGCAGTTTCAAAGTTCAACGGTGCCGCCATTTTCATGCTTCGAAATGCATTTTACTACTCGCGATTTGATTGGTTTGCCACGATTCTTGGCAATTATGGCGTACGATAAGGGTATGAGTCTTCTTGTAGGTCATGAAAGGGGAGAGTAGTTACGAATGGTCAAAGTTATCAAAATTTCAATAAATGGTGTAAAAGGCACTTAAAGCATCATACTCAGTCACTGTCTCTCCATGCTACAGGGCACAGACCAGACATATGTGGAGAAGGTCACCTCACATTTCAAGAAGAACAAGAACTTTGAGGCATCACAGCAGAGTCGCAGTGTCAACTTCTCTGTTAACCACTATGCTGGCAAGGTGAGATAATTCTGTTAACCACTATGCTGGCAAGGTGAGATAATTCTCTTAAACACTATGCTGGCAAGGTGAGATAATTCTCTTAAACACTATGCTGGCAAGGTGAGATAAGTCTGTCAACCACTATACTGGCAAGGTGAGATAATTCTGTTAACCACTATGCTGGCAAGGTGAGATAAGTCTGTCAACCACTATACTGGCAAGGTGAGATAATTCTGTCAACCACTATACTATATCAAGGTCAGATGGCAGTGGTGAGATAATTCTGTCAAACAGTGCACTGTGCTGGCTATATAGGAGATGAGATAACTGCCATCACTCTGCTGGCAAGGTGAGATAACTATATCAACCACTAGCTGGCAAGGTGAGATAACTATATCAACCACTAGCTGACAAGGTAGATAATATATCAACCACTAGCTGGCAAGGTGAGATAACATATCAACCACTAGCTGGCAAGGTGAGATAACTCTGTCAAGAACAGTGCTGGCAAGGTGAGATAACTATATCAACCACTAGCTGGCAAGGTGAGATAATTCTGTCAACCACAGTGCTGGCAAGGTGAGATAACTATGTCAACCACTATGCTGGCATGGTTAGATAACTGTCAATCACTATGCTGGCAATGTGAGATAACTATATCAACACTAGAGGCAAGGTGAGATAATTCTGTCAACGCACAGTATCTGATGGTGAGATAACTATTTTACTGACGATAATTCTGTACAAGAACATACATGCTATATCAACCAATAGCTGGCAAGGTGAGATAACTATATCAAAACACTATCGGCAAGGTGAGATAAATTTTTATGCTATATCCATCTCCTTCAAGTCTTGATAGTAACCACTATCTGGCAAGGTGAGATAACTATATCAACCAAATAGATGTAAGGTGAGATAACTTAAAAACTAGGCTGGAAACTAACTGCTTTTGTGATTGGTTGAGACTATTTTGATGGACCAATCAGCTGCGGTGAGATAACTATATCAACCACTGTATGGTAATGCTATATCAACCACTAGCTGGTAAGGCAAGGTGAGATAATTCTGCTGAACAGTGCTGGCAAGGTGAGATAACTATATCAAACTCGCTGGCAAGGTAGATAATTCGTGTCAAGAGCAGTGCTGGCAAGGTAGAGATAACTCTGTTGGGCATGGTTAGATAACTGTCAATCACTATGCTGGCAATGTGAGATAACTATATCAACACTATCGTTGCAAGGTGAGATAACTCTTCTGGCAACCACTTAGCTGGCACAGGGATGTCAACCAATATGCGGAGAACTATTTCCATCTTCTCAACTGCATAGGTATCACTTCTGTTCTTGTTTTAACATAAAATATTTCCAGCCAATGAACCATGATGTGACATATTTTGGTTTCATGCTGATGTTGATGTTGTATGTTGATGTAGGTGGAGTATGATGCCACCCAGTGGTTGGAGAAGAACCGAGACACACTGCCATCAGGCATTATGGAGATCCTCACATCCAGCAACACATCACTGGTCAAGACCATCTTCAGAGGTAAGCAGCTACTGATGTTTGGACACTGTAGGAATGTACTTCATTTACCTAAACTACAACAGAAATATTCTCCAAGTACATTTAGATCATGATGACCCTAAAGAAATTAAAATCTGCCTTCATATGTGCCTTGTGTACTACCCTTGAGGTGTCAAGCTGTGTATTATACTACATCAAAGTAACAAAGATGAAACCCGTGAAGATCTGAGTTAGAATTGGTCTTCAGTAACCCATGCTTGTGGTAAGAGGCGATTAATGGGATCGGGTGGTCAGGTTCGCTGACTGGGTTGACACATGTCATTGTATCCCAGTTGTGGAGATCGATGCTCATGCTGTTGATCCCAGGATTGTCTGGTCCAGACTCTATTATTTACAGACCGCCGCCATATAGCTAGAATATTGCTGCATGCGGCGTAAAATCCAACTCACTCACTTACTCACTCATAGTTGAAAATCTGTCATCTCATCTTCTCCAGCTCAGATCACCAGGACTGGCAGCTTGTCTCTACAAGGACGAACTCTGAGGAAGTCATCCAGGGTGAGGATAGCACTATCAAGTCTAAACTAGTGACACTTGGATCCTTGACTTGACTTATATAGGTGTAGGTGGCAAGGACAATCAGACCCATGCTTTGTATAGGAGGGACATTGGATCAAGTACATTCAGAATTTTGACTTGACCCGTGTTCTTGTGGGCAGAGGATACATTGGTCAAAGACACACTTTGGCCCATGGCTTTGCCTTGATACTGTGTGGATATTAAAAATTGAAAGTTTCATCAATGTAGAACATTTTTATGACCTCTGGGTCTTTGGGTCCCTCTCACTCCATAAGAGTGATTGCCCTAATATAGCTGGTAAAAGGTTAGAAATCAATGTTGGTCATTGATCCACTGATACTGTAAACCTGTATCTTCAGCTGGATAACTGTGATGCATACCATCTTTACCTGGTATACACATATCAATGACTCATTTTACATGCACAATAGATCAAACACAGAGACGGTCATATCACAGATGTGTAATAACCACACGCTCTGCCAGGCCGATATGGCTTGTCAATTCATTTTGAATGGGTGAACCATGTAAACCTATGAGAAATTTGAGTTACATTGTTCATTGTGGCTAGCTTTACAGTGACTTCCAAACCAGGTGATACCCGTGAAGGTCCGGGTTACAATATTGATCTTCAGTAACCCATGCTTGTCGTAAGAGGCGACTAATGGGATCGGGTCAGGCTCGCTGACTTGGTGAACACATGTCATCGGTTCCCAATTGCACAGACCGATGCTCATGCTGTTGATCACTGGATTGTCTGGTCCAGACTCGATTATTTACAGACCGCCGCCAAAAATTATAGCTGGAATGTTGCTTTGTGCGGCGTAAAACTAAATTCACTCACTCACTCCTTACCAGGTGATTACATATTAGATTCACTTGCCCATAGATTCATTTTACACCTTGATTTAATGTATTTGACAAAAAGGTTATTATATGACCTTCAACCCATGGGCATATGTCAGGGTCTCAGGTTGATATGGGTTATGATATGAAAACTGGCATATAATAACCTCTATTGTCCCTGGAGAACACAAAACAAGCTTGGTGAGAATTTCAGTGTATTGAATCTAAATGCCAAGACATGTAGATAGTGTTTTTATTTTATAACGACTACTGATGAGCAAGACATAAATAGCATTGCTGTTATATATTCACTACTAACAAGAAAGACAGAGATATTACTACCCTTATACAGTGACTATGATGAAGCAAGCCATAGTGTTTCTGTTATAAAGTCAACTTGTTTCCAGCTAAGGAAAATAAATCCTGACAAGATTCGAGCCAAGCGGAAGGTGACTGTAGGAGCACAGTTCAAGGTAAGGGATGTCACCACTTGTCAGGTATTAAGATGGCATAGATTATGGGGAATAATCACCAAAAACCTGTCAAATATTGAAATGATCTTCACAAAATATTTGATTCTCCCTTTTAATTTGTAAATCCATTCTACTTGTGTTTCTTGGTAATGTTATAATCTTCAATCTTTGATTTTGAGATGTAACAAGTTTGAATAATTTGAGTTAGGTCTTCTGAAACATTTATGATGACACTAAAACATTAGCTGCTCTGTAAACAACTGGTCCTGTCTTCAACATAAACCAGTTGATTGTAGTTGATGCCTTGGTGACAGATTGTTACCATGGTTGTCTCTTCTCCTACAGAGCTCTCTCAACATCCTGATGGAGCGGATGCAGTCAGCATCACCGGTGTTTGTCCGCTGTCTCAAACCCAACCATGTCAAGAAGCCTGAACAGTTCATGGATGAATACATTCTGGCCCAGGTAGGCAGACAGACAGTCATAATGTGATTGTACAACATAGCCCAGGTAGGCTGATAGACAGTCATAATGTGATTGTACAACATAGCCCAGGTAGGCTGATAGACACTCATAATGTGATTGTACAACATAGCCCAGGTAGGCTGATAGACAGTCATAATGTGATTGTACAACATAGCCAAGGTAGGCTGATAGACAGTCATAATGTGATTGTACAACATAGCCCAGGTAGGCAGATAGACAGTCATAATGTGATTGTACAACATAGCCCAGGTAGGCTGATAGACAGTCATAATGTGATTGTACAACATATAAGCCCAGGTAGACAGATAGACAGTCATAATGTAATTGTACAGCATAGCCCAGGTAGACAGATAGACAGTCATAATGTGATTGTATAACATAGTCCAGGTTGGTAGATTTGCCAGTTATGACAAGTTAGAAAGATGGTGTATCATGGCATGGAGATATGACAGTTAAAACATGTTACTATTGTGGTACATCATGGGTAAGGTATGACAGTTATAACATCTTACTATTGTGGTGCAAATATGACAGTTATAACATATGACTATTGCTAGGCAGATATGTGATGCATACTTTGTATTGATACGTATGCAGCAACATGTATAGCATAACAATGGATACTTTAGAGCAATGTGTATACTGTGATAATGCATGCATTATAGTTATGTATGTTGTAGCAATGATTTGCAGGAGATGTGATGATTGATTTGTTGTGATGCATGTACTGTGCAAATGTTGTAGTTGTGCATGTGTTTCGACAATGCATGTGCTGTATTAAGCATGTTGTAGTAATTATTTGCTGTTGCGATCCACCACGACTGTGATGGTTATGCCTGTGTTGTACATTTGGCGGTTATTGTCCCCCGCCGCAGCGAGAAACGGGGGACTATGTATTCAGCAGCGTCCGTCCGTACGTACGTACGTCCCGATTCTTGTTAACGCGGTATCTCATGAACTGTTGTACCCAATGTCTTCGAATTTGGTGTCAGCCTACATTGGGGGATTACGCAGACACCAGTCGATTTACGTGACCTTGACCTTATTTTCAAGGTCACCACTACACTTTGACCACTTTTCCAACTCTTGTTCACGCGATATCTCATGAACTGTTGTACCCAATGTCTTCGAATTTGGTGTCAGCCTACATTGGGGGATTACGCAGACACCAGTCGATTTACGTGACCTTGACCTTATTTTCAAGGTCACCACGACACTTTGACCACTTTTCCAACCCTTGTTCACGCGATATCTCATGAACTGTTGTACCCAATGTCTTCAAATTTGGTGTCAGCCTACATTGGGGGATTACGCAGACACCAGTCGATTTACGTGACCTTGACCTTATTTTCAAGGTCACCACTACACTTTGACCACTTTTCCAACTCTTGTTCACGCGATATCTCATGAACTGTTGTACCCAATGTCTTCGAATTTGGTGTCAGCCTACATTGGGGGATTACGCAGACACCAGTCGATTTGCGTGACCTTGACCTTATTTTCAAGGTCACCATGACACTAACCACTTTTCAAACTGTTGTTAACATGATATCTGATGGACTGTTGTACCCAGTGTCTTCAAATTTGGTGACAGCCTACATTGGGGGATTACGCAGACACCAGTTTATTTGGGTGACCTTGACCTTATCTTCAAGGTCACCACGATACTTTGACCGCTTTTTAAAGCGGATATCTCATAAAACATTGCACCCAATGTTTCAAGTATGTTGACAGCCTACATTGGGTGATTATGCAGACACCAGTCATTTCAGGCATCTTGTATGTGACCCAAAAATAAAAAGTAGTAAATATAGATATTCCATTCTTTAGCTGCGGGGGACATTGCCATATCAGTGGCAAACACTTGTTCATATTTACATGGTGCATGTCATCCTTCCAACTCTCAGTACCAGCTGCATGTAGTGTCATGAGTATTGTACATATGGTTATGATGCAAGTCTTGTAGCGATGCATGTGATGTAGCGATAATGGCTGCAAGAGTTTTATGATCCCCAGGGAGTTGAGATTGAAAATATGATGTGCTGTTGAGATTGGCATCCAATGATCGAGGGGAAAGCAAAGCACCTTTGCAGCTGAGCTGGATATTGGTGCTATACAAATATTAGTATGTATACATTTTATGTATGTATTAGGGCTGCAGCGAATACACTATGTGGTGAATATGATACGTATCATGAATATTGGGTTGATGAATAGGAAAGGAGAGATCAGCATAAAATATACGAGCTTCTGATTGGTTGATTAAGGTGGAACGGATGGGATGTGAATCTGATTGGTTAGTCTTACCTGCCTCGATGACGTCACGCTAAAAATAGATATCTTTGAATTTAAAACGGTAGTGTCATGAGCAGTGGGAAACCCCGCGCTATCCATTGGACTTCATAATACCTTCGTTAACTTGTCATTAAAGCCACTATGTGATATTCACTTAAGTAAATATTGTAAACAAAGTGCTAATTAAAAGAAGATCTGTGTATTGAAATGTTGTAGTCATTCACGGTGCACTTTTAGTGACCTGTTACAGTGAAGGGGAAAAGTGGGTCACATAGCGAGACACGAAGTGTACGGGAGTTCTGCGAATGCTGCAGTCTTCACTATAACGCAGCCCCTGAGAAATACATTGGTGAAATTAAACCATCTCGCCTCGACGCGTTAAAATGAATATACTCTGTATTCACATGTGGTTTGAATCGTCTGGTTGGATGAGTTTATAGTAAGGCGTGTTTACAGCAAAACAATGTTCATTTAAAGTCATCTCTGTACATGTAAACTGACTTACCACTCCTTCCCATTGCTTTAATATTTGTTTCGTTCATGGTGCTGCTTTCATTGGTATGGACATCACGCTAAAAATAGATGCCTGCATGTTTAAAAAAAGGTTGTGTTTGACTGGGGAAACCCCGAACAGTACATTAGTAAGCCCCGTGTATTTGTTTTCACTAAAGTAGATGTTGAAAGCAGTGGGGTATAAATGACCATTCAGGTATTACAACCTTATGTTGCTAACTTCATAGATAGTACGTGTCAGGGGACCTTTTACAGTGAAATGAAAAGTAGACCATACAGAACGAGTCGAGACAACTGTTGTGTGTACACTGCCTACACATATAAAAGCTAGACTCTGTTTACTTTAATGACATTCCTCCTACAACCATGCCCGTGGAAGGATGGGAAGAGTATTTGTCCAGCATTTACTTTAATTCCAAACACCCAGCCTCCTTCGTGGGCTCAACTAAGTTATATCACATGGTGAAAAAGGAAGGGAAATTTGATATCAGCTTACATCACATCAAAAAGTGGCTCGCTTCTCAAGATGCCTATTCACTTCAACGACCTCTTAGATACAAGTTTAAGCAGAACAGAGTGGTCTCAACTGGTTTGAATGACCGGTGGGATATTGACTTGGCTGATGTATCTAACATAGCCTCAGACAATGATGGTGTAAAATACTTATTGATAGCTATTAACGTATTTACACGATTTCTGTGGGTGGAGCCTCTCCAAAATAAAACTCCAGATGTCATTATTAAAGCCATGAAGAAGATATTTGCTCGTGCTACTCTACCACACATTATACGATCTGACAAAGGTCGTGAATTTGATAACAAGAAAGTGAGATCATATTTAGCAAAGAAGGGTATCACCTACTATGTCACACAGAATGAAACCAAGGCTTCTTATGCCGAGAGAGTAATACGAACACTCAAGACGACTATGTATAGATATTTTACTTTCAAACAAACGTATCGTTATCTTGACATTTTACAAGACTTGGTGAATGATTATAACCAGAGACCCCACAGATCGCTAAATGAAAGATCACCAGCTGATATTGATGTCAAAAATGAATCAGTCGTTTGGAAACAACAGTACATTGATCCACTGCACAAACAAGTCAAACCCAAAGCAGAGAAGGTGAATGAAAGCAGACGGAAAGCCTTTAAATTCAAAGTAGGGGATCAGGTACGACTGTCACATTTGAGACATGCCTTTCAACGCGACTATCAGGAGAAATGGACAGAGGAAATATTCATTATTAGCAGACGATATTATAGGGATGGGATACCAGTCTACAAAGTCAAGGATATGGCTGAGGATCCGATCACTGGTACCTTTTATGCAAATGAACTTCAGAAAGTTTATAAGTCTGCAGACACCATGTGGCGTGTTGACAAAGTCTTGAAGAAGAGGAAGAGAACTGGTAGAAAAGAGGTGTATGTCAAATGGATGGGTTATCCCAAGAAATTCAACAGCTGGATCCCCGAGGCAGATCTACAGTCTTTTTGGTGGGTATAAAGAGCATCCATTTTATGACATGATCACAGTTGGAATCAAACTGCTGACGTGACAACATGTATGGTTGTTCTCTCTGTTCCAATACTTATACCTTCATGACTTATACCTGGCCAGCAGCAATATTCTTAGCAGCAGACATAGGCGTAATAAACACAAGGAGTATGACAAGCAGCAGCAATATTCCCAGCAGCAGCAGCAGCAATATTCACAGCAGCAGCAGCAGCAATATTCCCAGCAGCAGCAGCAGCAATATTCCAGCAGCAGCAGCAGCAGCGATATTCCCAGCAGCAGCAGCAGCAATATTCCCAGCAGCAGCAGCAGCAGCAGCAGCATATTCCCAGCAGCAGCAGCAGCAAGCAGCAGCAGCAGCAGCAGCAGCAGCAGCAGCAATATTTGCAGCCACTGCTGCAGTCACACTTAATGCCTAAACATTTCAAGTTTACCATCCCCTCTAATTCAGTCGTTGTGGGTCCTACTGGCAGTGGCAAATCGATGTTTGTATACAACCTTCTCATGCAAGGATGTATACAGCCAACACCTAATCACATTATCTGGTGCTATACTCAATGGCAGCCCCTGTACCAGGTGATCTGTGAACAGTTACCCCATGTGACGTTTGTGAAAGGAATTCCTTACAATGTACTTGACGACACCTACTTGGA